TGTGAGAATGGTGTCAGAATGGAATGTAGTGTGACACATGGAAAAATATTGCCTTACTTTTGTTCTGAGCAATTACACTTCTTATATGTTCTCCTCATCATTTTTATTTTGACAAGGATGTGAATTTGGGAACTTATCATTGGTAGATATTCTCACTTCTAGTTTTTCACATTCTGTTTGAGCAAGTTCCCTGTCAGTAGGAGCAGTGTTTTCAATTTGTTTCTTTTTTCTGTTCTAGCCATAAAATAACATATAGAAAACATTCCTCAATTAGTTTGTTGATAAATGAACTTGAGAGTTCCTTGAAAAATAAAATTTTTCACAATTTTAAAAACATTTTTATTTTGCCTCATTCCCAAAAGCATTTCAGGCAAGTTCTACTATAGGAACATATATAGTATAAGAACATGTAGGACAAAACAGTAAGTGAGGAAGTCAAAGTGACGATAAAATAAAGATTGGAAAAGTAAGGTAACGCAAGAAGGATGAGGTTGGAACCTACTCGTGCCTGAAATTCTTGAAAGTTATTAGCTGTGGGCTATAAATTTGTTTCAGAGCATCACAGCAACCAAATGGGTGGGAAAGGGGGCAGGCCAATGACCAAAATATACCACATCCACAATGTGAAAAAAGAAAATCAAAAGTGTTATAAAGGCTGCTTTGTGTATAGTTGATGATCTTTCTGCAACATTTCTGGCAATGAGATGGGGGTTCAGTGTCCTAGGAACCTTCCTAAAACATCCCTCCCTGTAGGCTGTTGGCCTCATGACAAAGCCTACCTCAGGGAAAACCTCATCAGATGTGAAAATGTCTAAAGCACTCATTAAGAGGACACAGCCTCCAGGGATATTGTTTTCAGCAACAAAGCCCCTGTGCCCTATCCTAACCATGGATTAAGGTAGGGTCTGTCTGCATGTGCTGTCAATTTACAGCCTCCTGAGATATGAAAGCGTCAGGTAGAGGCTGGCAAAGAAATAGCTATGGGCTAAGCCCAGTCTTATTTGTTTTTTGTTTGTTTGTTTGTTTGTTTGTTTGTTTCCAGATAATGTTGACTGAGACCCAAAGCTTTATGCCTTGGAACATGGCTGTAGTAATTTGAACCAGGATAAATTCAATGATGTGTTAACAAATTTCTTACATGGTCATTAAAAGTTTTTTTCTCAGTGAAGTCCCATAAGATATCTAATTTTAAACCATATAACTTCAAGGTGAATCCTACAAACTATAGAGATTACAGACTATGTCCTGGGTAAATAACTAAGCTTGCTGCTTAATACAGATTTTAAGATAGAAACCAATTAAATATTGGAGTAAGAAATTTGAAGTCATTTGTCTTGAACTAACGACTGTGATTGCTATGGCTTGAATATCTATCTATGTTTCTTCCAAAATTCATATTGAAACTTAATCCCCATTGTGTTGGTGTTAAGAGGTAGGGTATTTTGGGGAGTGATTAAGTCATGAAGGTATCAACCATGTGAATAGCATTAGTGCTTTTAATAAAAAGCTCAAAGGAAGTAGTTTAGGCCCTTTTTGCCCTTTGACCTGCTGCCACTTGAAGACACAAGAAAGCTCTCATTAAACATAGAATACTCATGCCTTGATCTTGGACTTCACAGCCTCTAGAACTGTGAGAAACACATTTTTGTTGTTTATAAGCCACCCGGTCTATGGCATTTTGTTATAATAGCACAAATGGATTAAGACTGTGCTGGTGATTTGAAAGTGGCATGTGACAATAAAATTTTGTTCTCAGTGTAGCAGTGAGCAAAGTCTTAGTCTGAATGGCAGGCCCAGTCTCAACAAAATCTGGATCCTCAGGGAGGACTATTTCAGCTCTGGAATATGCAGTGGTGTGACCACAGGCTGCCTTCCTTCACTGTGCTGATCCAGCTTCCTAATCTATAAATGGATTTAGTAATACTCTTACTGAAAGGTCATTTTGAGGATAAAGTGTAATATATATTTAGTGTTCTTAGGATCTCTTCTGAGGCATAATTATTACCATTATCCTGTTCTCCATGGTGGAATATGGGGCGATATATCCAGCTTTTTGAAAAGTAATATCAAATCGTTAGGATTCCATATGAAAACAAAGTCACCTAAAAATTATAAATATTCTTTACTTATTTTTCTTTTAAGAGTTTATCCTAAGTAGGTAATCAATGAGAGGCAAATTGATTAAGCCATAGGATGTTTATGTTTATAATATTTAAAAAATTAGAGACAATCCAATTGTTTAGAAATAAGTATTCATTGAAAATATTCATTGGAATATTTTATCATCCATTAAATGTCATTATAAAATAATATCTAAAGGCAAGGGAGCATATTTAAAATCTATTACTGGCCGAGTGCAGTGCTTCATGCCTGTAATCGCTTGAGCTCAGGAGATTGATAAACAGCATCTACTTCATGTAGCTTGGGATTTATAAAGAACTCACATAGAAATAAGTTACCATCAGTCTCCAGTGGTTTCTGAGAGTGCGCTTGTCTATGTGAAAACCAGGTTAACACTGGTCAAAAATTAAATGATCATAGTTCAACTTCAACCTCACGAAAAATACTGTCCTTAGAAACACGGCCGTAGACATTTTATTTTATATTTTGAGACAGAGTCTTTCTTTATCACCCAGACTGGAGTGCAGTGGCACAAGCACAGCTGACTGCAGCCTCAACCTCCCAGGCTCAAGTGATCCTGCCACCTCAGCCTCCAGAGTAGCTAGGACTACAGGTATACGCCACCATGTCTGGCTGATTTTTTTGTTGTTCAGGCTGGTCTTGAACTCCTGGAGCCAAGTGATCTGCCCACCTCATGCACCCAAAGTGCTGGGATTACAGGAATGAGCCACCGTGTCGGGCTGGCTAGACATTTTTAAAGGGTTGAATTTGCTGTTGAGTATGCTGGTTAGTCTAAAATCGGAAGGTAGAAGGGAAGGATGCCTTTTTAAAATGTGATTAGTCTCAGATTATTTATTTATTTATTTGTTTATATATATATTTATTAAGCCTCCATTTACCTGGGGACTCTTCTAGGCTCTAGACAAGCTCCTTGATCATTACATTTTAGTTAAAAGGGGAGAATGCAAAAAGAGAGCTGGTAAAGAAATTTATGAGTGTCTAAGATAAAGCAGGGGTAAAACTGGGATGCATCTACACCTGGATTTTGTCACAGGTGGTTTGGGTGGTCACAGAAGCCTGTCTGATGAGGAGACATTTGAGCTAGCTGGAATTTCAGAAAGAAACCATCCCTGCAAAGATCTGCAGCAGAAGCCTATGGGCAAAGGGGCACCCAATATTCAGGCACTAACAGAACCTGCCAGATAAACTTATGAGTGTATTAGTCAGTGTTCTCCAGAGAAACGGAACCAAGCCAATGTATATATATAGAGAGATTTATTTTGAGGAATTGGCTTAAGGGGCTAAGTCTGAAGTTTTCAGGGCAGGCTGGCAGGCTGGAGAACCAGGGAAGTGTTGATGTTGCAGCTCAAGTCTGAAGGCTATTTGGAGACAACATCTCTTCTTTCTTGGGGGATCTCATTCTTTATTCTTAAGACTTTAAAATGACCATGAGATGAACTCACATTGTAGAGGGTAGTCTTCTGTACTTAGTCTATAGATTTAGATGTTAATCACATCTAAAAAATACCTTCACTGAAATATCTAGACTGGTGTTTGACCAAACATCTGAGCACCATGGCCTAATCAAACTGACACACAAAATTAACCATCACAATGAAGCTTAGGCACAAATTGGCAATAATTGGAGCCACCATTGACCACTCTGCATGCTGATCTCTTGCTTTTCTGGTGATGACCTAACTATCCAGCTTCAGTTCCCATGGGCTTGGTCTTAGTCTTTGATGTGAGGACCTCGTGGAGTAGGAGCTATCTGAGCTGACTCTCTCTGTGGGGTTCCCAGGTGGCTGTGCTTTTGTCTAAGACTGGGGTCTCACAGATTGTCAACATATGCAGACTGAGTAGCACGTTTGAGATGGGAGTTATCCTGGGCATCAACCTATGAACATCCAGGGAGGCTTTCTCACTGGACTGGAATGCTATGGGCATCATACATGTGCAGTCTCCTCCCTTTAGGGACTTCACATGGCAAGACACATTGAAATGAGGCAGTTGCTGGAGGAACTGGGAAGTAGAAGATTTCAGAGGCCCTCAGCGAAAAGGGTATGAAGTATGAATCTGATCAGTCAGGCCCGAGGTCACTGACTGGGGTCACTGCAGTCACTATGGGTTAAAAGGTCAGCATACTGGTGGAGACAGGTCAATATGTCTGTCCATCTTCCCACAGAACAGCAGTGACCTGGTCATAGCTTCTGCTGAAACCATCTTTGCAAAAATGATAACTGAGGGAATTATGACAGTGAAAGAGATAAGACCTATCTTACTCCATTGTGCTTCTAACCTTTAAGCTGTCCTTGTTCATTCCTGGGAGTAGGCCAAACTAACTTTGGGAAGGAATTCAGTTCATGGTTTGACTCTGAAACAAAATTAATAATAGTCCTTTCCTGAAAAGACCCGCTTCTTTCTTGGGGACCAATCTACCTTTTTAGGACCAATAAATTCTCTACAAGACTAGAAATTACAGTTTAGGGGTCATGCAGCCCCTGGCTCCAGGAGTCTGAACCTCCCCAAATTGTTCCTGGGGATAACATCACTATTGTAAAACCTGAGATCAGTGCTTTAGATATTTTGCAGACCCTGCACTGGATGTCCGCTGACATCACCCAGACCAGCTAATTCTGACTCAACCAGATTTCTGCCAGCCCACCCAGGAACAGAAGACAGCAAGAAAACCTCACTTTGACCCTCTATGATTCCATCTCCAACTGACAATCGCACTCCCCATTCCAAACCCTACCTCCAAATTATCTTTTAAAACTTTGATCCTCAAATGTTGTGAGATAATGATGAGTAATAATAAAACTCTGGTCTTCTGCACAACCGGCTCTGCATGAATTAATCTTTTCTATTTGCAATTCTCCTGTCTTGTAAATTGCTCTGTCAAGGCAACAGCGAGGTGAACCTTTGGTGGTTACACTGCCACACCTCCTCCCTCCAGTCTTCTGAGTTTCTGAGCATAGGATGGGCAAGTCTTATTCTGGAATGCTGGGGGTGGGGTGGATCAGAAAGAGGACATTTAATGACTGCCTCAGTCTAAGCCACTTAGATCTAACTAGCTTCAGGAATAAGGGAAGTGGCCATACTCCTGTCTGGTGTCAGGCGTGTCAGGCAGAAGTTGATGATAAGATTTATTTGCCATTTTATGTGCTTGAGATTCTCTTGGGGAACTGTGGAGAATTTTTAGGATGTCATAGCTATGAAGCTATTGTCTTTGTCTGTTTTCTGCTGCTATAACAGAATACACAGCCTGGGTAATTTATAAACGACAGAAGTTTGTTTGGCTTGCAGTTCTGGAGGCTTGGAAACTGAGACCATGGCACTGGCATGTGGTGAAGATTCTACCCTGGCAGAAGGATGAAAGGACACAGGAACATGTGAGACGACAGAGAAATGGGACCAAACTCATCTTTTATTAGGAGCCCACTCTTCAGTTGAGTCTCGCATTCCAATGATAATGGCGTTAATTCAGAGCTCTTATGATCCAATCACTTTTTAAAGGTCCTACCTCTGAACCTGTTACAATGGCAATTAAATTTCGACATGAGGTTTGGCGGTCACAATCAAACCATAGAAAACCACTTAATAGAATTCCATTCCTACATTAACTTTATTAAGATATTCTCATATAAACAAAGAATAACATATTGAAGTTGAACTAGCCTTGTAGCATATTAAACTTCAAATGAGTGATATACAAAATGACTTAACAAAACATTCACCTGATATTTATAAAGCCTTGAGCCATATTCTGCAATTATGGCATATAATTGCTCTGGATTTCTGAGGACCTCTGTTTCTTTAAGCCACTGATGACTTAGGAGTCTGTTAAAGAAAAGACAAACTCTGATTAAAGAGTTTCTCTGAAACATAAAATATTTTACATGTATTCATAAGAATTTCCTAAACATGAAAAATATATATACTCTTAGAGAGTATCAGATTCCTGGGGACATCATGGAAAATGGTGGAATGATACACACAAAAAATCAAGCCTCCATAATAACAATAGTAGCTGTAAAAGTTGACAGAATCAAATTTTTTATAGAACTCTGGAATCTAATCCAAAACCTACAGCAGCCAGATTAACTAAGGATAGGGGGCTAGTTTCTAGAAACAGATCATGTGGCATTTTTGTTACTGACTACGATCTTCACTTCCCAACTGGTGGGTGGCACTATCCACGCATCTTCTCTTTCTCTCTCTCTATCTTTTTTCGCATACTCTCGCCTGGGGGTGGCTGCCTGTGTTCTATCTCCATCTCTCTCTCGCGCGCTCGCTATCATATTGAAAAGACTTTCAAAGCACACGCGCGCGCGACCGACAGATAGAATGATGGAATAAGTGAGAGCAAGACGACCCAGAAGAGCCATGCTCACAGAGGCAGTCTCTTGCTGAAAAAATGGAGGTCAGGGACTGACTCGCATCATAATTAACTAGTGTCATTAAGCGCGCTGCTCCAACTGTGCATTATTCAGACTGGATACTCTCTCCTCTCACATAGCCCACCTCACGAAGATACTGGTTGCTACACCTCTGGTCGGATCTGATAGAATTGATGTATAATAGCACGCGCGCCTGCACGGCAGGCGCGCGTCTCTCTCGCCTGGTTCTCTCGGGCTCGCTCTCACCACAGCTCTCTCTCTCCTGTTCTCTCGTTTTCACATCTCTCATCCATGGATCAGCCGAATATCAAGGAATTCTGTTAAAAACAGTGCTAACCACTCGCCTCCGCAAACTATAATGAACCACGATAAGTCTATAAAAATGCTCTTTGGAAGGTCCACTGGTGGGCGGAATCATGAAGTACAAGAGATCGCAGACATCTCTGCAACATGGTGGAAACCCTGTTCTAGCTAAGAGTACAAAAAATTAGCTGGGCTGGTGGCTTGACCTGTAGTCCCCAGGTACTCGGAGACTGAGACAGGAGAATTGCTTGACACCGGGAGATGGAGGTTGCAGTGAGCTGAAATCATGCCACTGCACTCCAGCCTGGTGGACAAGCAAGATCAGTCTCAAAGGAAAACAAATATATGTCGTCTGAAAACATGTTACTAAACAAACAAGTGATTACAGCCCTCAAGCATGCACAGCAGGCAAACCTGGGAAAAAGAAAAATCTGTTTCTAGAGTTGGTTAATTAATAATATTAAAATGCTCAAATTTACAAAATCCACAAATGGCATACAATAAAACAGGAAGTATGGCCCATTCAAAAGGAAAATGCAGAAACCATTCCCTGAGGAATCTGACCATTGGAATGACGAGACAGAAAACCTTTAAATAAGCTATTCCTACATATGTTGCAAAAACTAAAGGAAACCATGAACAAAGACTAAAGGAACCAGGAAGATTATGTATGATAATGAGATATTGATAAAATAAATTATGAAAGAAACCAAATATAATTCTGGGAGGCTGAAAGAGGAATAACTAAAATGAACAGACTTACAGAAGGGTCAACAGTCTATTGAAGGCAGATGAAAGAATCAGTTAACTTAAAGATAGAGCTATTGAAATTATTGAGTCTGTGAACAGAAAGAAAAAAGTGAAAAGTGAACAGAGCCCAAGAGACCTATCAGACACCATGAAGTGGATCAACATATGCATTGTGCGTGTGTTGTAACAGGAGAGAGAGAGAAAGAGAGAAAGGGGCAGAAAGAATATTTGAAGAAATAAACAAAACCTATGGGATACAGCAAAAGACGTACTAGGAGGGTATATTATAGCTCTAAGTGCCTATATTGAAAAAGAGGAAAAACATACTATAAATGACCTAATGATGTACCTTAAAGAACTAGAAAAGCAAGAGCAAACCAAACCCAAAATGAGTAGAAGAAAAGAAATAATAAAGATAAGATCAGAAATAAATAAAATTGAAGTAAACAATACAAAAGATCAATGGGAAAAAGGTTTTTAGAAAAATTAAACGAAATTGGCAAACCTTTAACCAGATTAAGAAAAAAAAAGAGAAGATACAAATGAAATTAGAAATAATAAAGGAGACATTAAAACTGGTACGGCGTGAATTTAAAGGATCATTACTAGCTACTATGAACAACTGTATGCCAATAAATTGGAAAATCTAGAAGAAATGGACAAATTACTAGACACATACAATCTATCAAGATTGAACCAGAAAGAAATTCAAAACCTGAACAGACCAATAAAAAGTAATGAGATCGAAGCCATAATAAAAAATCTCCCAGTAAAGAAAAGCCCAGGACCCCACGGCTTCACTGCTGAATTCTATCACACACTTAAAGAAGAGCTAATACCAATCTTATGCAAACTATTCTGAAAAAGAGAGGAGGAGGGAATACTTCTAAACTCATTCTACAATGCCAGTATTACCCTGATATGAAAACCAGACAAAGACACATTAAAAAGAAAAGAAAAGAAAAGAAAACTACAGGCCAATATCTCTGATGAATATTGATGCAAAAGCCCTTAACAAAATACCAGCAAACTGAATTCCATAGCACATTAGAAGTATCATCCATCATGACCAAGTGGAATTTATCCCTGGGATGCAGAATGGTTCAACATGTGCAAATCAATCAGTGTGATACACCATATCAATAAAATGAAGGATAAAAACCATATAATGGTTTTCAACTGATGCTGAAAAAGCATTTGGATAAAATTCAACATCTCTCCATTACAAAAACCATTAAAAAACTGGGTATAGAAGGAACACATCTCAATGTAATAAAAGCTATGAATGACAGACAGATTCATAGCTGGTGTCACACTGAATGGGAACAAACTTTCCTCAAAGACCTGGAACACGAAAAGGTTTCTCACTTTCACCCTGCTATTCAACATAGTACTGGAAGTCATAGCTAGAGCAATCAGACAAAAGAAAGAAAGAAAGGGCGTCCAAACTGCAATGAAAGAAGTTAAATTATCCTTGCTTGCTGATGATATGATCTTATATTAGGAAAAAACCTAAAGACTCCACAAAAAAACTATTAGAACTGATAAACAAATTTAGCAGTGTTGCAGGATACAAAGTCAATGTACAAAAATCAGTAGCATTTCTATATGTCAACAGTGAACAATCTGAAAAATTAATAAAGTAATCTCATTTACGATAGCCACAAATAAAATCAAATATCTAGGAATTAACCAAAGAAGTGAAAGAGCTCTACAATGAAAACTATAAAACACTGATGAAAGAAATTGAAGAGGACACAAAAAGTAGATAACTCATGTTCATGAATTAGAAGATCAATATTGCTAAATGTCCATACTACCCACAGCAATCTACATATTCAATGCAATCCCTATCAAAATACCAATGACATTCTTCACAGAAATAGAATAAACAACCCTAAAATTTATACAGAACCACAAAAGACCCCAAATAGTCAAAGCTATTCTAAGCAAAAAGAAGAAAATTGGAGGAATCACATTACCTGACTTCAAATTATACTACAGAGCTTAGTAACCAAAACAGCATGGTACTGGCCTAAAAAGAGAGAGACAGGCTGATGAAACAGAATAGAGAACCCCTACAGAAAACTCATTTTCAACAAATGTGCCAAGACCACATGCTGGGGAAAACATGGTCTCTTCAATAACTGGTGCTGGGAAAACTAGATATTCATATGCAGAAGAATGAAACTAGACCCCTGTCTCCTGCCATATATAAAAATCAAATCAAAATGGATTAAAGGCTTAAATCTAAGACTTTAGACTATGAAACAACTGTAAGAAAACACTGGGGGAAAATCTCCAGGTTATTGGTCTGGGCAAAAATTTCTTGAGCAGTACCCCACAAGCACAGGCAACAAAAACAAAAATGGACAAATGAGATCACAGCTAAAAAGCTTCTGACAGCAAAGGATACAATCAACAAAGTGAAGAGACAACCCACAGAATGGGAGAAAATATTTACAAACTACCCATCTGACAAGGGATTAATAAGAAGAATATATAAGGGACTCAAATAGCTCTATGGGGGGGGGGAAAAAACCCTAAATAATCTGATTTTAAAAATGGGCCAAAGATTCAAATAAACATCTCTCAAAAGAAGACACACAAATGGCAAACAGGCATATGAAAAGGTACCTGTTTCATTGATTGTCAGAGAAATGAAAATCAAAACTACAATGGGATGTTATCTCACCTCGGTTAAAATGGCTTATATCCAAAACACAGGCAATAACAAATGCTGGAGAGGATATGGAGAGAAGAGAGCCCTCATACACTGTTGGTGGGAATGTAAATTAGTACAACCACTATACAGAATAGTCTGGAGAATCTTCAAAAAATGATAAACAGAGCTAACGTATGATTCAGCAGTCCCACTTTGGGAATATACCCCAAATAAAGGAAATCAGTACACCAAAGAGATATCTGCACTCCCTTTTATTGCAGCATTATTCACAATAGCTAAGATTTGGAAGCAACCTAAGTGTCCATCAGCAGATAAATGGATAAAGAAAATGTACATATTCACAATGGTGTACTACTCAGCCATAAAAAAGAATGAGATAATGTTATTTGCAACAACATGGATGGAATTGGAGATCATTATGTTCAGTGAAATAGGTCATGCACAGAAAGACAAATATCACATGTTCTCACTTATTTGTGGGAGCTAAAATTTAAAACAATTAAACTCATGAACATAGAGAGTAAAATGATGATTACCAGAAGCTGGGGAGGGTAGTGTTGAAGACAGAGGAGGTGAGGATGGTTAATAGGTACGAAAAATAGAAAGAATAAATAAGACCTACTATTTGACAGCACAATAGGTGACTACAGTAAAAAATTACTTAATTGTACATTTTAAAATAACTAAAAGATTGTAACTGGATTGTTTGCAACACAAAGGATAAATGCTTGAGGGGATGGATACCCCATTCTTCTTGATATGATTATTTCACATTGCATGCCTGTATCAAAACATCTCATGCACCCCATAAGTATATATACTGTGTACCCACAAAAATTTAAAAATTTTTGAATTCTAAATAAGAAAAATAATATTTAAAGAAATAATAGCTGAAAAAGTTCCAAATTTGATAAAAAGCCATGAATCTACACATCCAAGAAGCTCAACAAATTTCAAGTAAGACAAACTTAAAAAGACTCATGCTGAAACCTATTATAATAAAACTGTTGAAAGACAAAAAACACAGAGAGAATCTTGAAAGCAGAAAGAGAGCAATGCCTTGTCATATAGAAGGAAGTCTTCGTTGGATTATCACCTAATTTTTTCTTCAGAAACCATGGAGGCCAGAAGAGAGTGGGATGACATATTTAAAGTACCAAAAGAAAAAAAGTTCTATATATGAGAAAACTATTCTCCCAACTGAAGAAAAAACTAACATATTCTAAGATAAATAAAAGCTTATGGTGTCTCTACCACTAGACCAACCCTTCAGGAAATGCTAAAGGGATTCCTTCAGGCTGTAGTGAAAGGACATAGAGAGTAACTCAATGCCACATGAAGCAATCAAAATCTCCAGTAACGGTAATAGAGAGGTAAATATGAAACCAGTATTATTGTTTTGGGTTTGTAACTCCTTTTTTTATTTCCTACATAATTTAAAAGACAAATTTATAAAGCATAATTATACATCTATGTTTATGGGTACCCAATGTGTAAAGATGTAATTTCTGACAACATAAAGAGGAGTAAATCCCAGTGAATACAGATCATAAGGAGGAAAAAAAAAAAAGAGGAGCAGAGCTGAATAGGAGCAGAGTATTTGTATTCTATTAAAGTTAATTTGGTATAAATTTAAACTATATTGTTATAAATGTAGGGTCTTAGTTGAAATCCCCATGGTAACCACTAAGAAAATATCTAGAAAAAATACGAAATGAAAGAGAACAGAATCAAAACAGTACACTACAACAAAGCAATTAAACACAAAAGAAGGCAGTAAAGAAGGAAATGAACAAAAAGATAGAAGGTATAGATTTTCTAAAAAATAGAAAAATGGCAGAAGTAAGTCATTCCTTATTAGTAATTACTGTAAATGAAAATTGATTAAACTTTCCAATCAAAAGGCAGAGGCTGGCAGAATGAATTTAAAAACATGATTCAACTATATGCTGCTTACAAGAGATTTACTTTAGAATCAAAACTGAAATTTATAAAACATGGCTGAAAGAAATAAAGAAGACCTAAATAAATGGAAGGACAACTTGTGTTCATGAATTGGAAGATTTACTATTGCTAAGATGGCAAAACTACCTAAAGCTGTCCACAGATTCCAAGTAATCTTTATCAAAATCCCAACAGCATGATACTGGATAATGATAGACATATAGACCAATGGGCTAGAATATCCAGAAATAAACTAACTCAACTATAGCCAATTCAGTTTTTGGAAAGGAGGACAAGGCATTCAAAGATCCCTATAGGGAAAGAGTAATATTTTTAGCAAATGGTCCTGGGACAACAGGCTTTCCACATGCAAAAAATTAAGTTGGATCCCTTGCATCATATAAAAAAAGGAACTCAAAATGGGTCAATTACCTAAATATTAGAAGAGCTAAAACCACAAAACTCTTCAAAAAAGATTTAGCAATGGGTTCTTCGATATGACACCCTTAAAATTACAAACCTTTGTGTATCAAAGGACAGTATAAAGAAAGTGCAAAGACAACCCAGAATGAAAGAAATATTTTCAAGTGATATATCTGAGAAGGGTTTGGTATCTAGAATACATAAAAAACTCTTCCAATTCAACAACAAAAGGACAAACAACTTAATCAAAAATGAGCAAAAGACTTTAATGGACATTTCTCCAAGGAACACATACAAACAGTCAATAAGCACATAAAAAGATGCTTGACATCATTAGTCATTAGAGAAATAAAACCATGATGAAACATGACTTTTCATCCACCAGGATGGCTGTAATGAAAAAAAAAAAAAAGAAAAAAAAAAAGTTAGTGGAAATGTAGAGAAATCGGACTTCTTGTTTTAATCCATTTGTGTTGCTGTAAAGGAATATCTGAGGTTGGGCAATTTATAAAGAAAAGAGGTTTATTTGGCTCACAGTTCTATAGGCTGTACAAGAAGCATGGCACCAGCATCTACAGCTGGTGAGGGTGTCTGGCTGCTTTCACTCATAGTGGAAAGCAAAAAGGAGCCAGCATGTGCAGAGACCACATGGTGAGAGAGGGAGCAAGAGAGAGTTGGGAGAAGTCAGGTTCTTTTTAACAATTAGCTCCCACAAGAACTAATAGAGTGACAACTCATTACTACAAGGATGTAACCAAGTGATTCATGAGGAATCTGTCCCCATGACCCAAATGCCTTCCATTAGGCTCCCACCTGCAACATTGGGTGTCAGATTTCAACATGGGATTTGGGAGGACAGATATCCAAAATATAGCACTCCTCCTACACTGCTTGTGGGAATGTAAAATAGTGCAGCCATTGAGGAAAACAGTGTGGTGGTCCCTCCCCAGAAATCTCATTCCTAGGTATATACTTGAAAGAATTGAGAACAGATGTTCAAATAAGCACACGTACACACTTATGCACAGCATCACTATTCGCAATAGCCAAAAGATAAAAGCACTCTAAATGTCCATGAATAGGTAAATGGATAAACAAAATGTGGTATATACATACAATGAAATATTATTTAGCTACAAAAAGGAATGAAGAACATGCTAGGATATGGATGAACCTTAAAAACATTATGCTAAGTGAAAGAAGTCAGATAAGAAAGATCACACGCTTTATGATCTTTTTTGTAACAATAACTGGGTTGAAACTTTGATTTTAATGCGAGATCCATGCCTTAAGTTGTCAATATATTAAAGAACAAATTTCCAGTGTGCTGGGGGTTGTGGATTGTGATATTTCTCAATATGAAACTACACACTGCACATTCTGCAATAATTTTTTGGGGAACTGTGTGATGAGCAACAGTCTCTGGTTGTCAAAACCTCCCAAGTGCAGTCACTTAAATTTAGAAAAGGTAAAATGTATAATATGTTTGCAATAAATATATTAGAAATCCTTAACTTTAAAGCAACATATATGACTACAAAATTTGCAAAAAGCAAACCACAATTCTAAAAGAAAAGAAGGTCCTTTCTAAATTTTCTATTTAAAAGCCAATATTACCTTTACAATCAGAAATAAAAAACAAACAAAAAAGCTTTGATAATGTACAGGTCACCTCCAGCACTTTCCGTGGCATTTATTTACAAATATGAGTCATTCTGTTGAGATCTCTCTCACCAGGCAGACATATAGAGAAATGGTTTTTAAGGATCATTACTTAGGAAGACTTACCTACAAGAAGAAAAGTCAATGTAAACATTGTACTTAGAATAATCTTCCATGATCGAGTTACCCTAAAAGAATAAAAACAATGATTAGAAAAAGAATTTAACAACATCATGCATTTAACTTGGACGTTAGCCACTACTCCCAAGTCAACAAACTTACTTATTCTCATTCTTGCTTAATCTAGGTTGAGTCTATGAATTACTTTAATTTCCAATCCACTATTTTTTAAATCAAGAGATCATTTTCATGATGATACACACTTACCAGCATATATGTGAGCACATAGATTAAGTCATACCTCTTGCTTTCACATATGCAATGCTTATGCTAGTATACGTCTATTTATATTCTTAAAATGCTTATAATAAAAAAACAAAGGCAGTTTTCTAGAGGTCTCAAATGTAGAATTAGCTACGAAAAAAGAAAAAAAAGAAAAATCAGGCTCTAATTTTATGGAAATTCAGTATTAAGATAAAAAACTATGACAATTAACAAATATCTGATAAAATTCTTTGAAGTCATCATGACCTTTTTTCCTACTCTGTGTTGAAGTATAGTATGCTATACACATACGATTTGTGTTCTTTTCTGTATAATTGTACAGCCCAGTGATGCTTCACAGAATGAACACATCCATGAAACCTCACCCAGGACTGGAAATTGAGCACACTCAGTTCCGCGGACTGAATTGCACTCCTCCTCTCAACACAAACACACACCACACACACATTCATTTGTTGAAGCCCTACCCTCATTGTTACTGTATTTAGAGATAGGGTCTTTAATTGCTAATTAAGGGTAAAAGAAGTTATCAGTGGGACTCTAAACTAGCAGGATTGTTGTCCTTAGAAGAGGTGGAAGAGAGACTAGAACTTTTTCCCTCTTTGTGCAGTCAGAAGAAAGGTCACATGGGGACACAGTGAGAAGGCAATCCAGGAAGAAAGCCCTCACCAGAGACCAAATCAGCTGGAATCTTGGACTTCCTAGCCTCCAAAACTGCGAGAAAATAAATTTCTGTTGTTTCAGTCACCAAGTCTGTGGTATTTATTGTTGCAGCCCGAGCAGATAAATACACCAAGCCCATCAGAAGCCCATCTTGTGCCCTCATCAACCCTATACCTCCCACCTCTGAAGGTACCTGCTCTCCTGAGCTCTATCCCCATTAAGTAGGTTTGCTGGGTTTGAACCATCTATAAATGGACCCATTCGGGTATGGGCCCTATCTGTCTGCCTCCTGTTCCCAGCCTTATGTCTGTGAGAGTCAACTGTGCTGTTGTGTATAGCTGTGGTTCATTCATTCTTATAACTGTATAGTATTTCATTGTGTGAATATACCATGTGGTTGTCCATCCTAACATTGATGGGTGTTTGGGGCTATGATAAACAATGGAGTTATAAATATTACTACAAGCAATGCAGCTATGAACATTCTTGTACATGGTTTTTGATGAAGACAAGTATGTATTTCATTTAGGTATATTCTCAAGAGAGGCATTGCTGGGTCATAGGATACATGCATAATCCGTTGCAGTAGATTTTGCTCAGTTTTACAAAGTGGTTGTAATGATAACCTTTTCACATCCAACCTTTTAAAAAGCCCTAAAGGGTGGATGGGGAGGGAAGCTAAAATGATCACATTAAACTAAGGTGAAAGTTGTAAACTTCTGGATAAAGTATTACAAGTTGGCAAACTAAAAATTTCTACTTAAAATATAAGAAAAATCACATTAAGATGGATCATTTGTTAACTGTATTCACTAGAGTGGGCCACCTAATTCTCCCGGAACAGAATCTTTAAGTAGCTTATCTCCCCTACATAAAGCAGTCATGCCTATTAGCCATCCAAGAGTGTGAGACAGTGTGGAAAGCAACTAAGAAGAGAATTTTCTTAATTCTCTTCCCTCCAGGGAAGTATATTCTGAAACCTCTTCCTTTTAACTACTATTGGAGATGTGGAGAGCGGTAAGGGGTCCACTGTATAAAAAAGTTGTTCATAGGTCAATTGTGGTCTATAAGAGCTCTTCTGGTGGGCTGCATTAAATGAAAATTATCACATTACCATATTTACCAAAGATTAATTCCAGTGTTTTTTTTTTTTTTTTTCTACTAGAAAACTTGCTGCCAGGCTCTGCATTGCAAAATTCCTTCGGTGCCTTCGCCCAGCCAGTGGGATTCTGCCACTTGGGGCAAACATATTTTGTTATTAATGTGATTTTGAAATGCTGCTCTACTTCTACTAATAACTTTGTAGTATTCCTTTTATTTTTATTGATAGTTTTGTTTCTGTGCAAGTGCTTCATTGTTACCAATAGGAAGGTTATTTCATCACCATTCATAATGCAGATGGCCACCACGCCCAGCCAGGGCATGGACACGCATCTGCCTCTCTGCTTCAAGGGCCTAATTGTATCATATGTCAAACCCACTGAATAATACAAAGCCCCCCACCCCATATACCTACCACTTTTCTATGGCAAATCTGGATGTTTTGCTGTGTTTGCTTCAGTGCTTTTCTAATAAAGTTTTTGTTTTTCCAGCAGGCAGCACATGGGCAGGGCGTTTGTAAATAGGTTTAGGGTCTTTGGATTCCCTGCTACAATAATCCCCACATATGTTCTCACTAGAGGAAACAGGGTGATTCACTCAAAATATGCATCCCCTACCAGAGTCTTTAGTCAATTATCACCCGAGAATGTAATAAATGCCCCTCTGCGCCCAGAGTCCTGAGCCCGGTGCTAAGCTCTGCATACCACCAAGACTATACAAGCGAGGCCAATGACAAAAAAAAAAAGTGAATTATCTGGATGGTTTTAAGTTCCTGCTGCTGCAGCTCATTCTTTTAAACAGGATGGCTTTCCTTTCTTAATCCTTGTCCCCAGTCTGCTGTTATTAATCCAGATACTGTTGACATAGAAGTATTGTGATCAAGCGTTAAGTACTGTGATCAAGAGAAACCTTCAAAGGAAACTATTTGGAAATGATTTTCTCTATAAAGGAGGAAAACACTGTCTGTCAGGTAACAGGTAACAGGTGAACAGGACACAAGTGACAGATGTAACACATACAACCTACAATTTCAGGCACACCATTCTGCCGTGTTTACCTACCCATTCGCATCAGGGTTTTCATCCTCTGATAGCAAAGTGCTGCCACTGGTGCTACCTCTGGCGTCTTCAGAGCAACCTCTAAAAAACATGGCAGCCCTTCTTGCCTTTGCTTTTCCACTCATGATCCCCTACCAAAGAACAAACAGCTGGTAGGATGAAGAGCAACATTTGTCCTCATTCCTATTTTATTAAAAACATGAAGCTATACATACAGTTTTGAAATTTGTTTTGTTTAATGTCTTCTTCCTCCACGGGTGTTTCTTCTTGAAGAAGGAATTTTGTAAAGCTTCTGAGTCTTCTGTTGCATCATCCTCCGTGACACCTCATAATGCAGATGGCCACCACGTCCAGCCAGGGCATGGACACGCATCCGCCTCTCTGCTTCAAGGGCCTAATTTTATCATATGTCAAACCCACTGAATAATACAAAGACCCCTCCTCCCATGTACCTACCACTTTTCTATAGCAAATCTGGATGTTTTGCTGTGTTTGCTTCAGTGCTTTTCTAATAAAGAAAATATCAGAAATATAATGGTAGACCCCCAGGTATCCTGAATCTCAGCCCTCTCTCTTATTTTCCACAGATAACTACAGCCTGAAAATTGATATACTCTATTCTCATTATTTTTGATACTTTACTATGTAAATGTGTATCTACAAATAATATTGTTTTCATGCTTAAAATGTAGACTAAATGTTATGCCACTCTTGGTTTTCTTACAATATTATGCATCTTGAAACATTAACTCCACTCAGTTTAATTGCTCTATGGTATTTCATTGTATATACATGACAGTCCATTTACCCGTCCTTCTATAGATGTATACTTATGTTGTTTTCAGTTTTTTTTGGCAAAGAATAATGCTCACTGCATGTTGTTATATACACATCACAAGGTTTTTCTAAACATACACCTAGAAACAGAATAGTTAGGTGGAAGGATGAGCTGGTTTATTTGGGGCATAAATTCTAGGATGACAGTTATTTCACTCTCAGCACTTTGGAGATACTACTCCATGGCCTCGTGGATTGATTGTTGCTGATGAGAATTCTGTCTGATCTTCATTTCTCTTTTGTTTTTGGCAATTTCTCTGGTAGTTTTTAAGATTTTCTGTTTATCCATGTTTTCCAGTTGTATTTTAGTGTATCCAGGTTTGATACTAGTTTTTGTTTTTCCTCACTTATAACTCAGAGAGTCTTTTCAGTTTGGACACTTGTGTGTTTTTTCAGTTCTGGACTATTTTTCAGCCATCAGGTCTTCAAATATTGCATCTCTGCCACTGCCCCAATTTTCTTAGAATGGTCCACCTATTGACACTTGTGTCTCCCCTTTACTTTCCATATAGTTCAACTGTTCCTTCATATTTGTTTTTGCCCTTTTCTCTTTTTACTTATGCTGATTTCTGGGTGAATTTGTAAGTGTTATTTTTCAATTTACTATCTATTTTCTGAGAGTCTAGATCTATCCCAAGAAACCCCCAAGTTTCTACTTTTTTACCTATTGGTCCAAAATTTGAAAGTTACAAAATGGTACACAGCAAATATGGCCTTTCCACCCTGCATTTGCCTTCTAGCTATTGGTTCCCCTCCCTCCTAGCATCTATGCTACCATTTACACTATTTCCTTTCAAAGATGTGATATGCATGCACAGTATGTGACATTGTATTATATATGTAGCATTTTATATGTATATTTATCTCTCCACATTCCTAATGGTAGCTTACTATAAACTGTGCTCTCCATCTTGCTTCTTTCACTTAAACATTTATCTTGGAAGTTTTTCTGATGGTTTGAGATAATCTTCCTCATTCATTTATGATTGAATAGTGTTTCATTGGGTGAATGGGCCATAGGCTGTTTAGCCTGTCTCATATTGATGGGCAGTTTGATATTTAAAATAATGTGCAGTAGTAATCTTGTATTTAAGTTATTATCCATATGTGTGAATATATCTTTAAGGATATATACCCAGAGGAGGAATTTCTGGGTCAAAGTCTATGTGTATTTTTCAAGAATAAACACGTACATATACAGCCAACTAATCATTGATAAGTTTGCCAGGTATGCACAATAAGGAAAGGACCCTGTAGTCCCTTCAATGAATGGTGCAGGGAAAACTAGATATTCACATGCAAAATAATTAAATTGGACACTTATCTTACACCATACCCAAATATTAGCTTGAAATAGATAAAAGACTTAAACATAAGAGCTATAACCATAAAATTCCTAGAAGAAAACAAGAAAAAATCTCCTTGACATTGGTCTTGACAATGACTTTTTACATATGCATCAAAAGCACAAGCAAAAATAAATAACTGGAACCACATCAAACCAAAAACCAAGAAGCTTTTGCACAACAAAGGAACTTAATAGCAAGAAAACAAATAACTGAATTTAAAAGTTGGCAAAAGTCTTGAATAGACATTGTTTTTTCCAAAGAAGACATACACATGGCCAACAGGCATATGAAAAGATGCTCAACATCATTAATCATCAGGGAAATGTAAATCAAAACAACAATGAGATATCACTTCACAGCTGTTAGGATGGCTATCATAAAGAAGATAAGTGGCTAGTGTTGCACAAAGTGGTACACGCCTGTAATCCCAGCTACTTGGGAGGCTGAGGCAGGAGGACTGCTTGAGCCCAGGAGTTTGAGACCAGCCTGGGAGACATAGCCAGACACTGTATTTTTAAAAATTTGTTAATCTTAAAACAAACAAAAATATGTAAAGATAAGTGTAGGCAAGAATGCGGAGAAAAGGTAACCCTTGTATACTGTTGGTGGGATGGAAATTGGTATACTCATTATGCAAAACAGTATGGAAGTGCCTTAAAAAATTAAAAATAGAACTACCGTATGATTCAGCAATCCCACTTCTGGGTATATATATCCAAAGGAAATGAAATCAGTGTGTTGAAGAGATAGTTGCACTTCCATGTTCATTGTATCACTATTTACAAGCTAAGATATAAAAACAACCCAAGTGTTCATTGATGGATGAATAAATGTGATTTATGCACACGTGCGCGCGCGCACACACACACACACACACACACACAAGGTGGGTGGGGGGTGGCGGGGGGAGAGAGAGAGAAAGAGAATGGAATATTATTCAGCATAAAAAGTAGGAAATTGTGTTATTTGTGTCCACATGAATGAGCCTGGAGGACATTATGCTAAGTAAAATAAACCAGACACAGATAGGTGAATACTGTATGATCTAATTTATATGTGGAGCCTAAAAAGTCAAATTTGTAGAAGCGAAGAGTAAAATGGGAGTTGCCAGTGGCTGATAGGCAGAGGGAGCGGGAATGGGCAGATGTTGGTCAAAAGGTGCAGAGTTTCAGTTACAAGAGGCATACATTCTGCGGATCTAATGTACAGCAGGCTGACTACAGTTAGCAATATTGTACTACATACTTGAAATGTACTGACAGAGTAGATCTCAAGTGTTCTTACCCCACACACGCATACACAAAGGTAACTAAGTGAGATGATGAATATGTCAATTAGCTTGATTGTAGTAATTATTTCACAAGGTAGATGTGTATAAAATTAACATGTACAACCGAAACATAGAAGTTTTGTTTGTTAATTATATCTCAATAAAGTTGGAAAAAATCCAAAATGTGTCATTTTCCTCGGGAAGAATTTCAAACAAAGAAAAAGGCCATTATTTTCACATGCAGAGCACTGCAGAGTCAAAGAAATCCAGTCTCTCTCCTGTGTGAAAGAAGATGATCTTGTTTCTCCAACGAGGTTGAAAACCCAAACTGCTATGTAACATTGAAATACATAAATATATATCAGAAAAGAAAAGTTTGTCTTTAAGTTATTCAGATTATCAGAAAAAAAGCACAAAATGTAAAAGTCCCTCCAGTTTGTGAAACCCTGGTGAGAGTGTGTTGTGTGTTCTAGAGGGAAAGACTGAACCCACAGAGGTGAAGTTTGGAGAGGGGAATTATACAAGGGTTTTCAGCTGCTTGAGATAGGAATAGACAGTAACAAGGCAGGGCAAAGTGGAGAGATGGAAAAGCACAAACAGAAGATGTACCCTGAAAGTTTAAATAAACCAGCTTCAGCCAACAACATGGGTAAACCAACAGAGACCAGGCAGGAAAGAAGGACCAGAGGGCTTTGAAAAATCCGAATTTGTACTCAAATACATTTTTCCTCTTCTCAAAAAGGTCATAAGCAGGAGATTATCTGCATATCTACAAGTAAAGTGAATAAAATTAGGCATAAAGTGAAAATATATGTCAGAGAATGTTGGATCTTTCTAAATACTGAGGGCCATAATGTGGTAGAAAGATGATCATGTCATAAAGTATAGAAAATAAAGACATTGAGATATTCTCATTATAAATAAATTATTCTTGTATCATGTTTTAATTTGCATGGCATCATTACCTACATTCTTATCTGATCTGGTTTGCAAATATTCGTAATTTCAATCACACTGCAAAAGTCAAAACTTGGCCAGGCATGGGGGGGCTCATGCCTAGAGGCTGAGGCAGGAGGATACCTTGAGGCCAGGAGTTGGAGACCAGCCTGGGTGACACAGCAAAACCATTGTCTCTACTAAAAAATTTTAAAATTAGCTAGATGTGGTGGTGTGGGCCTGGAGTCCTAACTACTCCGGAAGCTAAGGTGCGAGGATCTCTTGAGCTCATGAGTTCAAAGCTTCACTGAGCCATGATCACACTAATGCATTTTAGCCTGGATGACAGAGCAATATCCTGTCAAAATAAATAAATAAATAAATAAAATAAAATAAAAAGTTTCTTCTAAAGAATGATAACACTTCATCATCACTCAACTTATGATTTCAGCTAGTCAAGAAGGTTATCAGCTTGGATGAATGCTGTACTCTTCTGTTAATCCAATGGAGAAATAAAGATGCTCTTTGGTAATGACAGCTCCAGTTATTATGATCAATTAAAAAAAAAACCTTCTTGACCGGGAGCCGTGGCTCATGCCTGTAATCCCAGCACTTTGGGAGGTCGAGGCGGGTGGATCACGAGCTCAGGAGTTTGAGACCAGCCTGACCAACATGGCGAAACCCTGTCTGTACTAAAAATACAAAAATTAGCCAGGTGTGGTAGCACGTGCCTATAATCCCAGCTACCCCGGAGGCTGAGGCAGGAGAATTGCTTGAACCCAGGAGGTGGAGGTTGCAGTGAGCCGAGATCGCGCCACTGCACTCCAGCCTGGGCCACGGAGCAAGGCTGTCTCTAAGTAAATAAATAAATAAATAACCTTCTCTTGACCATACAATCATGTAGCTAGAGGATGCCGTGACTTGCACAAACAAAAGCATTTGTCATGCTTGGCAATAACCTAAGAGCCTGTTTATGCAGTGGAACAAACATTTGACATTGCAGTATGAAGTCTTGATTACTCATGACTGGACCACTGAAGATGCTTAGAATTTGTTATGAAATTATATTACAGCAGGATAAACCACAGAATTAGAGTTAATTCCTGCACAAAAACTATCTTCTCTTTAACCAATTCTGATATTACCTGTCTCCTGCTAGATTTTTAAGGCTATACTCATGTAACAGAAACAGACTCATGTTCAGTTCAAGTTGTCAAATACCCACCGTCACAAAAAGTCTTGATTTTTAAGAAAAAATTTCAACAAGAGAAAACCAAGGCTACTAACTGTTGCTGCAGTTGTTGGAACAACAGGATTTCTTTGAATGTTCTCTGTATCAACTTATCCCCTCAAACTCTCACAAGGGGTTACCGCTGGGTAATTAGCCCTATTATTTTTGCCAGGGTGGCATGGGGCTTTCTGGGTATCAAAAGTGTCTCCTACCGAACTGTGCCATAGCTGTTGGTGTCTATTGACCTCACCAAGCATATGCCAGATCGATAATCTTCATTCCCATGAAGCACCATTGGTAATATATTCATTGTACTTTCTGTAGACCTCAAAATCCACGCAACCAAAAAGTTCGCACTGAAGCCAAGTGTTTGGAGTTCTAAACACGATTCTATATAAATATGGTCAAGAGCTTTAAAAAAAAGTCTCTCAACTTACAAAACAGAATTATTCCCGAAAAATAAGATATAAGGAAGAATGTTCACATAATTTTATCATCGACACACAATTTCCTAATACTTATTAGTCTTTAAAAAACGCATTAGATGAGAAATTTGCAAGCAAACTTGTCTAAAACTAAGGATTCCTTTACTAAGTGAACCATTACTCCTGCATCTCATTAGTAAATTCTTTTTTTTTTTTTTTTTGTATACTGGTGGGGTGTTTTGTTTTGTTTTGTTTTTAGGGTGAGACAGTTATACTTTGGAAAACATGATGCATGTCCCCAATTTTTCTGGACCTCTCTGCAGTAACTGTGGTTCCCAGCCAGAGCGGCACGAGGACTGAGGCCTGACTCTTGCTTTGGGCCCACGTCCCCACGCCCCCACACCCCCACACTCCCACACCCTCACACGCTTGCAACAGTAAGGCCCTGCTCACATCCCCGCTAAGTCCCGCCCGGCTCCCGATGGCATCGCCGCGCAGCCCTGCCCTGGTGCGGCTCTGGGCTCCGGGCAGTTGACAGGCGGTGCCCGCGCTCCGCTTCCGGCCCTGATTGGTCCACCGCTGCCCACCAGGCTTCCCCTATTGGCTGCCAGTGATCCCGCCGCGCCCGCCGGTTGGCCGTTCAGCCGTTGCCCTGGCGACGCCGATGTTGTGGTTCCGCAGCGCCCTGGGATTTTGGGTTTGGTCGCCAGCCGTGTAAAAACTCCAACGCCGGGCGCCGCGGGCAGCACCCACGGAGACCCGCGGGGAGCTGGTGAGCCTGAGCGGGCTGGAGGACAATGGGGGCGCCCACAGGGGCCCCGGCCTTGTCCACTGTGAGGAGCTCACGGTGCGGGCAGTGCGCGCCGGGGCTGGAGGGAGGGGACCACCTTGTCGCCGGGTTGGGATGAGCACAGGGCGGGATCTCCCAGCCTGCCCAAGTCCCACGGCCCCTTTGTTACCTGTTGTTTATCCTCTCTGTACCTACTGTATCCCTGGCGTGGACGTGCCTGTACTGAATACCCGACGTGACGTACCCCCTGCTGTGTGCCCCGCACGCACGCATCTCTGCTGAATACCCCGCGTGAATGTGCCCCTGCTGTGTACCCGGAGTGCGTACGCCCCTGCTGTGTACACTGTGTGGACATGCCCTGCTGTCTACCTGGCGTGCATGTGTTCCTGCTGTATACCGGCGTGATGTGCTCCCTTCTGTTTACCTGGCGTCGACATGCCCCCTGCTGTACACCCTGCATGGAAGTGCCAGCGCTAGGCGATCGCAAGGCGCCTGCAGGCGTGTCAGGTGGAGGCGGTACAGACCGACCCAGAGGGGGCGCGCAGATTTTGCTTTTGCAGTTGCAGCTTCTGACAGCGGGTCAAGCAAGCAGCGTCCAGAGCACTTGCGAACACCAGGTCCGGCAGCATCTGTCTTTTCCCGCAGCGTGCAGCGCCTGACCATGAGGAACACGAGCAAGGAACTTCAGGGCGCCACGCACCGCTACGCTCCCTGCGGTGAGTGCGCCCTGAGCGCGTCCCGGCCGGAAAGAGCTGGGTGCGTGCACTCTGCTTACTAGACACGCTGTGGACCCGTCGTCCTCTATGTGGGCTGGAGGGGAGTGTGAACGATGGAGGACCAAGTGATAAAACTAACAAGTCAAAGAAAGCCACAAACTGCTCCTGTGCCTGAGTGTGAAATCAAGACTTAAAGGGAAATATGAGTGGGGGAAGTCTTGTTTTTCTTTATTTTCAACAAGAGAGAACCAAGGCTACCTATCTTGTTCAATCTGGAGCAACAGGATCCCTTGGAAGTTTTCATTGTCATAGTTCAACCCTATACAGTTCTCACAACTGCATTCCTGAATGTTGACCTGGGAAGTTTCTTTTCTAGCTGAATTCCCTAGGTATTTCATTGAATCCCTAGACCTTGCTCCTACTTTAGACCCCAAGCAAGTTAAACATACATTGTGGTTTTAGTGTCTGGTTACAGGAAAAGGAATTCAGTGAGGTTCATGTCTTCTTATGTGCCAGGGTTTGAAGTGGAGGAGAGGGGAAGGAAGAATAAGTCTTGAGATGCTGTCATCTTTTTCTTTTTTCCTGTTTTTTTTTTTTTATTATTGGGAAAGACTGTAAAAGGGTAGAGAAGAGGGTCATGGGGATCAGCTGGGACAGCCGAGTTGGAGCTGGTCGGCACCCTGGAGCCAGCACATCTGCTCAGAAGTGAACCATATGTGGCCCTGCTGCATACTCTAAGCATGTTGCTAGCCCAGAGCGCTACCTTGTGACCGCTATTGAAGATAGTGTGGTCATGCTGGGGATTGGAAAGGGAACAGCACAGAAGGCCTGGCTGATTTGCCTTTTCCCAGTGGGCTCTGGAGCCTTTATGTGACTTCTTGGTGTCTTCTAGTGGCCTTGTCTGTATGAACAACACTAAGGAACACTAATAACTGCCAGGCACTGTTCTAAGTGCTTTATATTAATATATACTAACTCATAACAGCCCTACAAGGTAACATTACCCTCGTTTTATAGAGTTTGGAGTAATTTGCCCAAGGTCACACACTTTGTAAGTGACTCCACAGCTGTTAAGTGAGGCCACAGCAGCCTAAAGCAGGAGCCTGTGCCCCGCGAGTATGTGAGCATATAACACACTGCCTTGTGCCTTAGAGACCAGAAGAGCTGGGGGATCTTTAGTTCATCTCATAGACTGTCACAGACTGTGTTTCCTCACTGATGAAACAAGGGTACTAATATTTGGCAAACGAGAAGGCAGGGAAGGCTATATATAAAAAAATCTATATGATAGTAAATGATTGATATGGTACAAGTGCCAACAATGTGTTTTGCATGATAAAAACTGTGATAACTCTTAGTCCCTTTAACCCTCTGTGTGTGTGTATGTGTGTGTGTGCGCGCGCATGAGGTAATCATGGTTGGTTCTTACTGATCCAGGCCCTCGCTCTCTGAGTGCCTCCTTTGCCTGCATTTAGAAATGGCCAACCAGATTCGAGTTCAGTGCCTGTTCACAGCTTCCAGTAATGAGAAGAAGGTAGAAGACACACTGTTCTCTGTGGATTAATTAGTAATCAAAACACAGAGTGGAAAAATAAAGCAACAATAAAATGCCTTCTCTCAAAAAGAAAATATTTGAACTGAATATGATCAGACTATGAAGCTGCTAAATTCTCCTATTCATTCTTAAATTGATTCTCTGTGATCTTTTGTGCAATTCTTTAAACCTTTTCCAATTTTTTTCTTTCCTTTACAAAACCATATAGTGTTTATTCAGCTATTTAATGTCCTTTAGATACTTAAAAGATTGTATTAAATACCATCCATTAAAAATTCGATGTCTAAGCTTTTAGCTTTAAAGGATGGTTACTTCTCATTTCTGTATGCTTAAATGAATCGATTTATTCAGTACTATTTTCCTGTGTGTCTACTGCGTTAGTCAGCATTCTCCACACCAACATAACCAACAGCATATCCATGTCTACCTTTCTATATACATACACATATATAGATAGATAGATAGATAGATAGATAGATAGATAGATAGATAGATGTAAAGAGAGAGAGAGAGAGATTTGTTTTAAGGAATTGGCTCACATGATTGCGGAGGCTGGCAGGTTCGAAATTTGCAGTGCAGACCAGCAGGCCGGAGACCCAGGGAAGAGCTGACGTTGCTGTTTGAGTTTCAGAGCAGTCTGGAGGAAGAGTTTCCTCTTTCTGGGGGAATCTCATTCTTTTCTCTTAAGACTTTCAATTAATTGCCCACAAAAAGAGTCAAACTCTGTAAAATATTTAAAGAGGTTTATTCTAAGCTGAATATGAGTGGCCAAGGCCTGTGACACAGCCCCAGGAGGTCTTGAGAACATGTGCCCAAGATGGTTGAGTCACAGCATGATTTTATACATTTTAGGGAGACACAAGTCATAGGAAGACATCAATCAATCCATGTAAGGAATACATTCATTCAGTTTGAAAAGGTGGGATAACTCCAAGTATGTGTGTGTGTATGTGGGTGGGAGTTGGTTCCAGGTCATAGGTGGATTTAAAGATTTTCTGATTGGTAATTCGTTGCAAGTTATTAACCAAAGACACAGAATCAATAGAAAGTAGTGACTGGGTTAAGATAAGGAGTTGCAGAGACTAGGGTTTTTGTCATGTAGATGAAGTCTTCAGGTAGCCAACTTCAGAGAGAGTAGATGTAAACATCTCTCTTTTTTTTTTTTTTTTTTTTTTGAGACGGAGTCTTGCTCTGTCGCCCAGGCTGGAGTTCAGTGGCCGGATCTCGGCTCACTGCAAGCTCCGCCTCCCGGGTTCACGCCATTCTCCTGCCTCAGCCTCCCGAGTAGCTGGGACTACAGGCGCCTGCCACCTCGCCCGGCTAGTTTTTTGTATTTTTTTAGTAGAGATGGGGTTTCACCGCGTTAGCCAGGATGGTCTCGATCTCCTGACCTCGTGACCCGCCCGTCTAACATCTCTTATCAGACCTAAAAAGGTGTCAGACTCAATTAATTCTCTCCTGGATCAGGAAAAGAGCTGGAAAGGGAAGGGGATTCTCTACAGAATGCAGATTTTCCCCACAAGAGACAGCTTTGTAGGACCATTTCAAACTATGTCAAAGAAATCTATTTTGTGGTAAAATACTTCAATTTCTTTCAGGACCTGCTATCTGTCATGTGATGCTCTACTACAGTCAGGTTGCAATTTGGTCTCTGATTGCCACAAACAGTCTGTTTTTTCAGTCTTAAGATCTCTGTTTTAATGATAATGCTGGTCTGCTGTGCCTGAATTCCAAAGGAAGGAGGGTATAAGGAGGCACGTGCAACCTCCCTTCCCATTATGGCCTGAACTAGTTTTTCAGGTTTACTTTGGAATGCCCTTGGCTGAGTAGGGGGATTCATTTAGTCAGCTGGGGGATGGGGGGGCGTGGGGCTTAGCATTTTATTTTTGCTTTACTCTGACTGGAGGAAGCCCACCCACATTACAGAGGACAGTCTACTTCACTCAAATTCTACTGTTTTTAATGTTATTTTCATCTAAAAAACGTCATAGACACAGCTAAAATAATGCCTTACCAATATCTGGGTACCATGGTCCAGCCAAGTTGACACATAAAATTAGACATTATATCTACCCAAGAAGAGGATATTGTGTTAGACTCTGAACATACTGCCCCTGTGACAGGACATTCTGATAAGTGCTACTAAATACACCCAGTCGCTTGTGTCACATTAATTGCATCTTTTGTATCTGACATTCTTCCTGGGTTTTGTTTCTAAAGTTCTCAATCAGGTGTGATTTTTTTGTCTTATATTTGGGTATCTGGTTAATCAATTTCAGATTCAAATAGTTACCTAGAACACCAGGTGTCTGAATGCCCCGGATCTCTTCTCTCTGTGAGGGTCATCAATAAACACTGGTAACTCCAGGTCCCTGGGATTTTGCCAACTCACTTGACAGAAGCTCCCAGTAGGACTCCAGGGAGTCTCCTGGGTGGTCCCAAGCCAGTCTGTAGGGCCTGTCCTGGATGCCCTCAGCTCAAGGCCTTAGGGAGCCTCATGTCTTCACCAGGCCCATGTTCAGCTTCTCTGTCCATAGCCCCTTTCTGCATGGGCTCCAATCAGGAAGGGAGGAAGGACAGAGAATAGCTCTCCTCCTCCACTCGATTGTGCCTGGCTTCTTCATGGGACCTTTGACAATACAAACCACACAATCTACACTCCCTGTGTTTCAGCTTGATCTTTCTCAAGGGAACCAAACCCAGTCACCTTAAGAATCTCTGAGTCTCCACCTGAGAAGTTTTTCCATAACACATAGGCACCTGTTTCCACCATTTTTCAGGAACTATCTAGACCTCTGGCCACCTTTCACTGCTCTCTTTGGCCTCAGGCATAAGCAAAACTATTATTATTGAAAACAGTAATTACACATTAATAATAATGAAAGGGACAAGGAGAGAGGGAGAAGGAGAGTGATAAGGTTAGATGAACTCTCACGTGGGGAGTCTTGGTGGAGGGAAGGTACTGTACTGGCTCGTGTGGAGACGGGCTGCTGAGCTGATTCTAGCACCCTTGCTCGGTGGACAGGTCTCTTTGACCACTCCCCAGTTCCCCCTCTTGTCACTTTTGTGCTAGTGGTAAATGTGTTCAAACAGGCTGTTATTTCTGTGACAGAACTTAGATTTCAGTATTTTTAGCATACTAAATTTAGCAAATCTTGGTCAACATTTAGCCATATATTCCACAGGCTTACCCATAACGTTTTATTTAAGTGATTTGGGATTTTTCAGGAATGTATATTTCCCAGCATAACCGGAAATACAGTTGTCTTATTTTTATGGAGGATTAGGAGAGAGAGACAGAGACCTAATGAGGCTTGGGTAACTCCCTGGGAAGCTAAAGCGCCCATGAAAGAGGCTGAGCCCTCAGAGCTTTCCCTTCGGTTGGTGCCAGTGGTGGCATCTTGGTGGGCAGTAGAGACTGGATTGCATGGGTTGTGTTACCATTCACATCAGGAACTCAGAAGAGGGCATTTTCTTCCTTGCTAATAGGCTCTGTGGCCTGCACTACTCCACCTGATGGGGCTGTCTGCATAGACACTCTGGTAGAGGACTAGAGGCCACCCTGGCACACAGCAACAGCGTGGCCCTCTGCCTCTCTCCTCTATAGATTGGTATTACCATGTTCCAGTGAAGCGCTCTGAGAAGGCCGTGGATGCCCCACCGGCGTCCCAGATCCCAGGTCTCAGCAATTTGGGAGACTCACACGGCAGGGACCTGCCTGGGACTCGGAGATACTGGATAAAAGAAACAGATTCGGAATATGTGAAGCTCGCGAAACAAGGCGGCAGGCCTGGTGAGCCCCCGCCTGCCCTGTTCAATGTGGCAGCCTCGTGGGCAGTGAGGGGGGCGTTTGTTCCTAATTTCTTCCATATAAAAATATTACTATAGAGTCTACATGTTTAGCTTAGGGCCTTTGGAAATTTAGGTTAATTAACTAGGTGTAGGGATGGGCATGCTCTCCAGGGATGAGCTAATTTTTATGATGTTAGAATAAATAGGCCGAATTCACAGAATTGCCTGTGTAGGATATTTCTTCTGAGTAATGCCTTTGTGATGATCCAACCTTCCCTCACCCACTTTATATTCTTATTACAAAGAGAATCTCAGGAAGTTGCCTCCAAGAGAGAATCTGTCTTTGCACGCTACCAACTCTTGGCTAATTTTTGAAAAGGTTTTGTTTCCTGTTGTTTATTCTCATTGCGGCTTGTCCTTTGTATGAAAATGTTTTAGAAAATGAAGACCATAGATGAGTTTCAGTGTGATGTTGATGAGGATCAAATTTTGATACATGATTTAATTGAGAAAGGACTGCTTAATCATGCTAAAAACTAAGGTATTTGAGCTCAACAGAAATTACTCAGAGGGTTGGGAGATCACATCTAAAATGTCTCAGAGCCAGTCTTGGGGTCAGTGACTTTGAGAGACACTAACCTTTTTTCCCCTCTGGCTGCCATTACTCCTGTGGGGATTGTCAGAAAGAAAATGGGAAGCAAAATGGTGACATCTTTGCTTTAATATTAAAAGGTTGGACTAAACAGTTTGATGGACTAGGTGTGACACTCAGAGAACAGGACCTAGACATTTTTTCTTAGATTCACCTCCTCCTGCTGTTGTTTAAAAGAACATTAAGGGGACAAACTCTGAATGTCGGTAAATCAGATAAAAGAATTGCATCAATAGTAGTTTCCTGAATGTGATCATTGTGCCATGATTACGTCAGGAATGTCTTTTGGCAACATCCGCTGAGATATAGGGGGATGACTGGGCATTATGTCCGCAACACGCTGCCCAATGATTCTGAAAACAATAATGACAACAAAAATAATAATGAGAGAGAGGGATAGACAAAGAGAGAAAACATAAAGCAAATATGGTGGAATATCATCTGGGAAGCCTAGGTCAGGGTACAGGGGAACTCATACTATTCTTGCAATGTTTCTGTAAGTCTGAAACATTTAACAATGAAAAGTGCTTTAAAAGTAAAAAAAAAAAAATGAAAAGTTAAAATTTTATTATTGATGGTAATAGGTCAACCAAAGTTGTCTGCTACTGCCATGGGCACTGTTATCATTTTGCTGTCCTTATTATCAGGAAAGTCAGTTCTTCCCACTCCCTGCTTTTTGAAACCAGAGGAGGGAAGTGTGGGGAGCTAGAAAGCAAGTGGGTGAGTCAGGAGCTGGCCTGGGCCTCTGAGAAGGACCCTGTACTCTCTGTGCCTCTCAGGGTTGGCTCCAAGGTGACTGTGAAATCTCCCAGGTACCTTTCAGGGGCTTGTATCCTACTTCCCATCTGGAAACCTGGAGGGGTGGCTTCTTCTGGAAATGGTGGGGGTGGGGTTAGGGACAGCTCCACAGTGGCAGAGAACAGTCAGACTGTCCTATGCTAGGAGAATGGTGTGGGGGTAGCTGAGGATGAGGGAGCCAGCATGTGCAGCCCCTGGAGACCTCAGCAGTGGAGGGACGGGCCCCCTCCAGGAACTGGTGGATGCTGGCCTGCATAGATGCAGCTCAAGACCAGGAGCTCTGTCCAGATCTGCAAAGAGTGAGATGTGGGGAGGCATACAGGATGTCCCTTCCTGAGCACAAAGCAGGACGCCCACCTGTCAGCCTGTGCAGAGACAGGTGAGGATCAGGGATGCTCTATTAGCCCATGGATCCCAGAGGCAACCCCAGGGAGACCGACAGTTCCCCTTGTAAATTGAGCCTATCACTGGCAATGCTGTGCGTCTGTGTAGGGGCAACGGGGTGTCTCACAGCCATGTCATTTTCTCTTTGAGATTTGTTGAAGCACTTTGTCCCTGGGACCAGGAAAGGCTCCCCGGTGGCCTACTCCCTGCCAGACTGGTACATCCACCACAGCAAGCCACCGACAGCCAACCAGCAAGAGTAAGTATCTTAAAGCACTCACATTGTTGTTTATCTTTACAGGAAAAAAAAATAGCCCAATTTGAATTTTAAAAATACAAATGTCTAATACTGATAGTAAGCATGTAATATGAAAACTTCAGGTTCTCTTTTACAATAGCCCGCTCTTTGAGGGATATAGCCTAAGTTGTCAGAAAACCAGAGTTCTGGAAACCCTGGCATTTTGTGCCACCCTAGAGTCGTGTGTCTTTGGGCTCCTTCTTGGTAAATTGCGCTGTAGTGTTACCGGCGGGTCTTTGTTCTTAGAGCTCCCAAGATGGTGGCAAGCCTTTTGTTCTCTGACCTGGGGTTCTTGGCCTCACGGATTCCAAGGAATGGAATCTTGGGCCATGCGGTGAGTGTTATAGCTCTGTTAGAAGCTGTGGGTCACGGAGGAGACCCTTGGAACCCAGTGACTAGTGTTCAGCTCCATTAGGGCAAACCCAGGCACTTAGCTGTGCAGGAACAATGAGGAGCCTCTAGCGCGATGGGGAGTGTCAATGGGTGCCTCGCTGGATCAGAAGTGCAGTGGACACTCTGCCGGATCCGGAGGGGTGGAAATTAGCGGCAGGTCTGTGACGGAGGCAATCAGCAGTGGTGGACCGTGGGCGAAAGCTCAGCTCAAGCCGGAACAAACACAGACCAGAAGAGTGTGCAGTTGCAAGATTGAATACAGTGAAAACAGAGCTCCCATACAATGGGAGGGGACCCAGAGGAGTTTGCCACTGCCAGCTCAAATGCCTGGGTTTATATCCCGATCATTGTCCCCCCCGCCCGTGCTCTCAGGCAACAGATGATTGACTATTTCATTACCTCCTGCTTTTAGCCTCATTGATATTTTAGTGAGCCCTCTTTACTATCTGATTGGTCGGGTGTGAGCTGAGTTACCAGTCCGGTGTTTAAAGGTGGGTGCAGTCACCTTCACCAGCTAGGCTTAGTAATTCTTGGCCGGCCTAGGAAATCCAGCTAGTCCTGTCTCTCAGTAGGACTGACCACATCCTCCTGACGTGGAAATAGCAGCCTATCCCAAAGGGTTCTCATTAAAGACAAAAGGCACTAGGTAAAGCTACAAATATATGAAATCCTAAATTTCTATGTTCAGTATTGAGTTATGAGGAGCCATTGTTCCCATAATATTTGAAATGTCTAAGAAATTTCTATTTGTGGACATGCAAACTTTATCTCCAAAACCACCTCTCTTGGATTGAGAGGTAAAATGAAAAATCATTTCAGGCCATTTCCCCATTTTTTTGGGCTTGAAAATAGGACTACCATAGATATATTTACAAGTAGTTATCTGGTGTTACTTGAATGTTCTGCCATGGTCACAGTGCGGCTTTTGTCTTCAGGATTCTGTTTCCCTCTGTAGTTTAAAATGAATACACAGGGTGGCTCACACCCAGGTGGGTGGATCACCTGAGGTCAGGAGTTCGAGCCCAGCCTGACCAATATGGTGAAACCCCATCTCTACTAAAAGTACAAAAATTAGCTGGGTGTGGTGGTGTACGCCAGTAGTCCCAGCTACCTGGGAGGCTGAGACCAGAGAATTGCTTGAACCCAGGAGTGCAGTGAGCCAAGATAGCACTGCTGCACTCAAGCCTGGGTGACAGAGCAAGACTATCTCAAAAAAAAAAAAAAGAAAAAAAAAGGAATACTCTGTGCTAACAGAGGTTACATCAAAGTGGATGAGCTGAGCAAGAAGAGAGAGTCTTAGAAGGGGAAGCAGGAGACTGGGGGCACTCTTGCAATGCTGCTTGTGCTTGCAAGAACAGAGCAGAGCAGGCAGCCTCAGGTGAGAGTAGAGCCCGAGTACCCCAGGCAGATGTGGAGGGATGGGTTTCCTGAGCACCCTTGACCCTGAGCTCTGACTGAGGGGTGCCCAGTGGTCCTGCGGCTACTGGACTCTAAGCAGCTGTGCACTTTCTTGCAGCCGAGGGTGGCTCCTGCTCTAGCTGGGTGCCCTGAACCAACGGTTAATTCTTGGGGGGAGGTGGGGGCACTTCATGTCTCTGGGGTGCTCCTGGAGAGCGTTACCTCAGGCATGCCCCTTCCTCCCATATCCACACTTCCACATGGACTGTTTTCGTCACTTCTTTCTGCTTTTTCCTTCCAAACTGTTGGTACCCCTGTCCCTTTGCTGTCTCCTCCCACCCTATATGTCCTTACTAATTGTCCAAGCCTTCTAGTGATGATCTACTTCTGGGGCCTTCAGTGTTTTTCGTCCTCCTGGGACCTTGTCCTCCTCTGGACTGCAGACCACCTGCTCCAGGTTCTGGGACAGGCCGAGGATGTGAAAAGCAGGAAGCACAGGAGAAATTCTTCCTTCACTGAAAATCTGGGAACCCAGGAGCTACAACTTAACACGCTTTTTAAAAAAAATTGTCCCTCCCTTTGTTGTTTTCAATGCTCATCTGTCTCTGTGGGCTTTTTACTGCCCTCAGGCTGTATCAGAAGTGGGAGGGCTGGGGAGAGGTGCCGCTTCTCACACCTGTGCTCCCTGAGCAACTCAGCCACACTTGTGGCTTCTCTTACTGGGTATCTGTGGCCACCTTCCGAGCCTGCATTTCCAGCCTCTGACCGCTGCTCCCTGGCCTCTTCATTTGCTCTCTCAGAGGACCCTAGCCACCTCTTTTAGGGGCTTTGCTGCAGTGGTGCCCAGGACCCTACTCCTCAACCTTGCCCTTGATGCCCACTTTGCAGCTGGGGCCTCTTCTCAGCATCCTGGAGCCCTGAACAAGTGCAAATGAGGAGCGGGACATTGCGGGGGTGGGGGGTCCCTGCAGCCCCTCAGACACTGCGTGGTAGGGGGGGTTGTGCTGCCGTGTCAAATTTGAATTCAGTGTTCTTCCCTGTTCAAACCTGGTTATGTGTACAGATCTTCGGGGATCTAAAGGCTGAAGCATTCCAGTGTCTTTGATGCCCCTTCTGTATGCGCTGTGTGTATGGGAAGACTGGTTGCTAGTTTAAATGCCCACATTAAAAATGACCATCCAACAGGAAACAGAGCATGTTATTATTATTTTAAATGAACATGTTAAATGGTAAATGTTTAAGGGTGTTTAGTTATTTTAAGGGGTCAAAGTGGTAGATGCTATTCTAAAATAAATAATTATTTTAGAAGATATGTTTTATAATTTCATATTTTAGTATATCTCGTTTTACTAATGTTGAGACCTTGTGATTTCTGAGTGGCCCTCCTGGGAGGCAGGCCCCGGAGGGGTTGGTGTGTTGCTTAGCAGGCACAGGAGGGAAAGGCCTGTCTGTGTTTTCAAGGAGGATGGGTGGTGCTGATGTCAAGAGAGATGGAAGAGAAGAGAATAAGGGAGGGAGAGAAAGAGAAAGAGGGAAAGAAGAAGAAGAGGAAAAGAGAGAGAGAGAGAGAGAGCAAGAGAGGGAGAGAGAGAGGAGAAAGGAAAGGAGGAAGACAGTGAGAGAGGGAGGGAGACAGGAGAGAGGGAGAGGGAGAGCCAGCAATGGAGATGAAAGGGAGGGAGGGAGCTGAAATGGCTCTGAGCACCAGGCTATAACTGCTGTCTGTCCCTGCAGAGTGCGGGCTGTCTCCATGCCGGATTACATGGTTCATGAAGAATTTAACCCCGATCAGGCCAACGGTAGCTATGCATCCAGAAGAGGGCCCTTCGACTTCGACATGAAAACAGTTTGGCAAAGAGAGGCTGAGGAACTTGAAAAGGAGAAAAAAAAGGTGACGGGAGCCCATAAATAGATGGCATCCGCATCCGCTTTGCTTCTGTGGCCCCAAGTAATTAAGTGCTGTGATGTTAGCTGCTGGTGGCGTCTTATGTTGCCCGTGGCATCGGCCACGTGCTCTGTGTTTTAAGTTTGGATCTACTAAAAGGCAAGCAGCCACCATACTGTGGTCTTTCTTTTTCTTTTTATGAATAATGACTTTAAGAGGTAAGATTCCTTTTTGCTAAATGATTTACAGATAGTTAATGCTTATCTAGAGGAAAACTGGCTTAGCACTTCTGATCTGGCAAATACAGAAAAGGAATTTTATATTTAGTTATCCCATTTCTGAATGTTTTCATTTATTTAAGTATTAAGCGTTTTCTGGAATACTCTTTGTTGATAATAAAGGAAGAGAAGATGAATTCTCTTCTTCTATGTGAAGTCCTGGTGGTGTATTTGATCGCAAAGGAGTGACTGGCCGTGCAGTGAAGCCTTCTCAGAGGATGTGTATTTTAAGAATGCAATGAAGAAAGTTGGAAGCAATCTTGAATTGGTGGCTCTGTTGTTGGGAAGTCTTGATCAGAGGCCCTTCTGTCCCCTTTCCTTGGGGCTGGAAGGAACAAGAGCCAGGCCTGCAGCTCTGCCAAGGGCTCAGTATTGCCTGGGGCTTCAGCACCACGTCTCAGATTAGTCTCAGTTCTTGCAACTCTGGGGTTTGTGAGTGAAACGGTGAAGTTCACATTACAAGTAACAGTAGTGTTTGATACTGAGAATAAGAGCGAACACTGTTGTCACCTGACGGGTGATCATTTTGAACAGTGAAGAGAATGGATGTCTCTCAGCATAGGCGGCAGTTGTTATGAACTCTCTATGCCTGATTCCTAGACTGTTGCCTCAGCATCTTGGTTTGAAGGGAAACCCCTCAGTTTATTTTGGGGACTTGAGTAGCTGAATACCAAGTAGAATGTCAACTGGCTGCAATGGGCCACATGCTTTTTCTTTAAGATCTCCACGTCCAGCTGTGATTCGGATTTTGGGTTGTTTCCGTGATCTGTGCAAAGGCACTGGAACTTTTATTGTTGTTTTTTGTTTATTTTTTTAATTAGAGAGAAGTTCTCTCTCTGTCACCCAGGCTGGAGAGCAGTGGCATTATCATAGCTCACTACACCCTCGAACTCCTGGGCTCAAGGGCTCCTTTGCCACAGCCTCCTGAGTAGCTGAATCTACAGATGGATACTACCGTAGACACTCAGCAAAATGGACCATGTTAAGAATCAGATCTATCTCTTAGTGTTGTGCAAGTGGCCAATTACACTGAGTTACAGCCTTTAGTGACAAATGAACGTTTGGATATTAACCATGGTTACAGCTTACATCTACAGAAATCTTAAAATGCTAAATGCTATATCAGTCTCAAATCAAGTGGGGTTTCTAAGTTAGTACCCATTTACAAAAGGTGTGCTAGGGGCTGCACAAAGTTCCTGAAGCCAGCCCCTCACTGTGGGGAAGGAGATAGGGTGACAAGTGGTGGTGGTTAAAGATACATATGCTGAATATTTAACAGGTAGAGGGACATGGTGTCGGGTAAGGTTCAGGGGATGAGCACCGCATCGGGATGGGCTCCGATTGCCCTAATAAGACAACACAATCACCACTTTGGTACGAAGGTCACCTATGAGTGATGATCACATCCTGGGCGTGGGCCAGCCGACAAAGTGCTTCCTCAACTGTGCCCTGGCCCCACATGGGGCACGTGGTGGACGCTTGACAAGACTTAGGGCACATGTGTTGCCTGTTGGTTACCAGCATTCATGGGGCTCTTGCTCACCTACAGGGTGATCGGGGGATCTTGTTTCCTTTTTTTGAATCTTTTCTTCCTGTAATTGTTAGTAATACCTCCATGGATTTTGTTTGCTTGGTTTTTTTTTTTCCAGTTTTCCTGTAGCATTTATTTATATTTCTTTTAATAAGAAATAATTTACATAGAGCAAAACCCACCTTTTATAGAGAACTGCTCTCCAGGTTTTGACTAAGGTGTCCCTTGTGTACCACCACAGCCTTCAAGGAACATAGCAGTCCTGTCGCCCCCAGCATTTCTACACCTTTTTGTGGTCAGCCCTCACCAGACCCTTGCAAGTCCCGATCTGTTTTCAGTCTTTATAGTTCTTCTGGACAGAGCAGGGGCATCGCCATCTTGGACAAGCCTCTCATTCTAAAAGTTCACCTTAATAAAAACCGCCTAAATCCAAGGGGCATCAGCCTAATGGCTAAGGTCAACACGACCATGAACCACAGGTAACATCTCCAACCAGAAACATTCAAACTCCTCCCTGACCAGAGACGTGGTGGCCCCTAAATAAGCTCCCTCCAGCCAGGAAGATTCCAGTCCCGAGTTAACCGCCCTCCGGGCTGAAAGATGTCTGCCCCGAGATAACCTCCCCTCCTCCCAGAGAGTTTCCAATCCCGCCATGAACTTCTCCACACACATGGACATTCCAAGCTTCTCATAAGCCCCCTCACCCTAAAACCAATATGTACTTTTAGTCTGTAAGAAAAAGTGCTCCTGACCACAATCGGCCAGGAGCGCCTCTCAGGTTTTAACAAAAGAAAACCTGTCTTTGACTGTCAAGCCGCATTTCGTGTTTCTTTCCTCTTTCTTTAATTCGTACACTTCCCTTTCCAGAATGTGAAATCAATGGAATCATACGGTGTGGAGTCTTTCCTGCTTGACTTCTCCAATGTGGTGTAATGCATTTACATTATGCATCTACATTACATACGCGTGGCCGTGCTGTTCCGAGTATCAGTAGTTCATTCATTTCTGTTGCTGAGTTTCATTGGCTGATCATGATACCATTTGTTTATCCATTCATTTGTTGGTGGACATCTGGGTTGCTTCCAGTTCTGGGTGATTATTACAAAAGCATACAGGTGCTTTTGTGAACATATGTTTTCATCCGGGTGTGGGAAATTCCTTCAGGACCAGGCTCTTAGCTGTTCATTGTTTTTCCTCCTGAGCAGATGGCATCTTTACTCGAATATAGCAACTGCTTTTGAGTTACAGATTGTCCCTTTTACATGACTATTTTGTTGAATGAGATGATTGCTGAATTATATTTTATTGTGACCATTTACAATGACCACATTGAAAGTCCAGCCCTATAAGCTTTGTATCTTTGCTACCATTGGTGAGTTTTCTTCTAGTTGTTGAGTGCTTTCCACTAACTCAGGGTTTTGTGTGTTTCCTCACACAGCTGAGGCTACCGGCCATTGACTCAAAGTACCTAAGCAAAGCAGACACCCAACTTGGCCCTAAGGACCCTACAGGAAGTAGACTCTCCTTCCCCCCCATGTAAGTGCTTGAGCTACGCCCGCACTATCTGGACTGGGTTTGGGTTTGGCCTTCCGTCTTTCATCCAGTGATGACTGCGCCAGTGACAGCATCCACACAACTTCCCGAAGCCCTGTCTGCGGCCTGGCCTGGCTGTGCCTGTCGCCCCCTCACTGTGGTTTCTGTTCCTTCCTAATGTCATTTTGCCGCTGTTGAACACATCTGCCCTTCCAGGTCATGCTTGCTGCAGGTTGGCAGTGTGGAGGCCCTGCTTCTCCATCAGGCTGTGTCCTGTCTGAAGCACCCACCCCCTCCAAGGCACCACCCTCACCATATTTTGCCGGGGCTGCTTGTCCTGCATGTGGGGGCCACTAGGTCCTGACGTTTCTGTGTCCAAGTCCTGAACTGAGGTGTCTGCGCCTTGTAAGCGTGCTGGCTCTGTTTCCAATTGGAAGATAAAGCAGGCACACTGACATTTGCTGATCCTCCAGCTGGAGAGTGAAATCCCTGAGGCCTTAGGTGTCTTCTTACTCTTCCAGATCCAAGTTTAATGCTAGGATAAATGTTATTAATTACCTGACTAATTCTTCAAACAGCTTCTTGTCCAATGGGGAAAAAAATAATCAGATACATTGCGTTGTGACAAATGCCATGACAGCACCAAGCTAGACTGATAGAGAGGGGAATATACATGTATCCATATGTGTTTATATATATGTAGGTATATAGGTATACCTAGACATGTATTTATAGATGTGCAAGAGAGAGAAAATGAAGCATTAAGAGTGGCCTTGATAACAAAGTGATTGGGCGCAAGAAATCCTCCCACTCAGCCTCCCAAGTAGCTGGGGCTATACGCATGCACCACCACACCCAGCTGATTTTTTATTTTTTGTAGAGACAAGGTCTCATTATGTTGCCCAGGCTGGTGTCAAACTCCTGCACTCAAACAATCCTCCTGCCTCTGTCTCTCAAAGTGCTGAGATGGAGGCTCAGAGAGAACAGGTGGTGGGTTGCTGCTGCTCGAGCTGAAAGCTCACACTACCTCTACCGTGTCAAACTGCCCTATCACTCTTCAGTGTGGGTCAGGGTAAGATATGTGAAGACGCAGTAGGTGGTGAAAGGCTAAGCTAACATCAAGAAATGACTGGAGACAAACCTGTGTAAGAGAGTGAAATAGCAGTGGGTAACCATTGATAAGGACAAGAAAGAACCAATAAGAAAGCAATCATTTCTTTTTTTTTTGAGATGGAGTCTTGCTCTGTTGCCCAGGCTGGAGTGCAGTGGTACGAACTCAGCTCACTGCAGCCTCCACTTTCCAGGTTCAAGTGATTCTCCTGCCTCAGCCTCCCAAGTAGCAGGACTATAGGTGCCTGCCACCACAGCTGGCTTTTTTTTTTTTGAGACAGAGTCTCGTCCTGTCCCCCAGGCTGGAGTGCAGTGGTGCGATCTTGGCTCATTGCAAGCTCCACCTCCCCTCCTGGGTTCACGCCATTCTTCTGCCCTCAGGCTCCTGAGTCTGGGAACTACAGGCGTCCACCACCACGCCCGGCTAATATTTTGTAATGTTTTTAGTAGAGGGTGGGGTGTTCACCATGTTGCGCCAGAGTGGTATCGAATTCCTGACCTAATGTGATCTGCTCCGCCTCGGCCTCCAAAGTGCTAGGATTAACAGGTTGTTGCGTATGTTGCCCAGCCCCTCCTCCTTCCGTCCCTACCTCCTCCTTTCCTTCCCTTCCCCCTCCCTCACCTTCCCTTCCCACGCTCCCTCCCTCTTCCTTCTTTCTTCTATCTTTCTCTTTCTTTCTTTCTTTCTTTCTTTGCTTTCTTTCTTTCTTTCTTTCTTCTCTTTCTTTCCTTTCTCTTCTTTCTTTTCTTTCAATCCTTTCTTCGTTTGTTTTCTCTATCTTTGTCCTCCTTCCTTCCTCCTTCCTTCCTTCCTTCCTTCCTTCCTTCTTCCTTCGCTTCCTTCCTTCTTCCTTCCTTCCTCTTCCTTCCTTTCTTTCTTTCTTCTTTTCTTTCTTTTCTCGTTTTCCTTTTTTCTTTTTTTTTTGAGACTGAGTCTTACTCTTTTGCCCAAGCTGGAGTGCAGTGGTGTGATCTCGGCTCACTGCAACCTCCAGCTCTCAGGTTCAAGCGATTCTCCTGCCTCAGCCTTCCGAGTAGCTGGGACTACAGGTGTGCACCACCATGTCCAGCTAATTTTTGTATTTTTTGTAGAGACAGGGTTTCATCAGGTTGGCCAGGATGGCCTTGATCTCTTGACCTCGTGGCTGCCTGCCTCGGCCTCCCAAAGTGCTAGGATTATAGGCGTGAGCCACCGTACCTAGCAGTTTTTTTGTTGTTGTTTTGTTTTGTTTTTAAAGGTAGTTCTGAGCAATCCATTACTATGAAGGAAGGGGGTGGTGTTTTCTTAGGAAGGCTTCCCAGTGAAATACTAGAATTATTACTAATTCTTAATTGACTATCACAAAGAAAGATTTTGGAAGCTGAACTAAACATGCTCTCATCCCTGTACAAGGGATGCTTTGACATGCACTTCTTATGCTTAAAAATGGAGACAGTGAGACAGACAGAGAAGCAGAGGGAGATACAAAAGGGCAGAGAGAGATAGAGGGAGAAAGAGAGAGGCAGAGGCAGAGAGAGAGAGGTTTGTTAGGTTTGAAGGGACAGTGACACCTATTTAGTGTGTTCACGGAATACTGCTTCTGCTTTATCATTAACCCTTGTGCTTAAGTTTCACATTACTTTTACTCTTTTTAAGGCCTGGTCAAAAAAACAGTTCACCTACCAATTTTTCCAAACTCATTAGCAATGGTTATAAGGATGAGTGGTTGCAGCAGCAGCGAGCTGACTCAGGCAAGAGGACCCCGAAGATCTCCAGGGCGTCAGTGTCATCTCAGTCCCCACGAGACCCGGAAGGTCCCCAGGATGCAGCGAGGCTCCAGGACGCAGAGGCTCCTGAAGGTCCTGAGGATGCCCCAGGTGAGGCACAGGCAGCCATCTGTGTTTACTGGAGGCTTGGTTAATTGTGATGCAGCAGCTGATGTTCTTATCGCATGATGCTTCTCGTAATGAGAAATGAGTAACCCAAAAACGATGTGAAAACACCCATAGAAGTACCAAGGTTACAGATAAGCAAGAGGGTAATACATGTTTCGCTCTTTCCTCTTTATTCAAATGAATAGCGGAAGTCATGACTTTTGGGGTTTTACATTTTATTTGTTAAAAAGTTTGATAATCCATTTGATATAACAAACAAATAACATACCAAATAATATCAACTTTTAATCTTCCAGATCCAAAAAATGTTGACCCTAAAATGCTTAGACTTTTGCATAAGCAACTGGTCCTTTTTGAGATCACTTTTTAAAAATTTTTGAAAATAAGTCAAAATTCAAACTTAAAATTACTCCATTATTGGCATATCTTAAACTTTAAATAATTTAGAACTTTCTCCGTAATTAGACGTTCAAAGTACTATATTAGTTTTAATTTATTATAATATTTTATTTTATTTATTTTTTGAGACAGAATCTTACTCTGTTGTCCTGACTGGAGTGAAGTGGCACAATCACAGATCACTGTAGCCTCGAACTCCTGGGCTCAAGCAATCCTCCCACCTCAGCCTCCCAAGTAGCTGGGACTATAGGCATGCACCACTACACCCAGCTACTTTTTTGTTTTTCATAAAGACAAGGCCTCACTATGTTGCCCCGGCTGGTCTCACACTCCTGGGCTCAAAAAATTCTTTTACCTCTGCCTTGCAAACTACTGAGATTACAGGTGTGAACCACTGTGCACAGCCATTCATTTTTATTTTTAATAGTACAGAAAGAATTCATCTTATTTTTTCAACACATCCATCTTAAACACCTATTGAGCATTATGTTCAGTATCCATAGCTCTATTAATTATTGACCATTTGCTTCTGGGAAACTTGTTTTTACTCTTGAGGCTTGAGTTCTTTGATTAAGAGGAAAGATGGTGTGTTATGCCTCTTCAGACATTTCAAGTGTTTGGTGTGGTTATTTGTAAGTGAGGTCACTGCTTGCCATTATTCCCCACACCCTGTTCCTTACTGTATTTGTTGAGCAAGATCTGCCACTTACTGGCTGACTCTCTCCTTTATTATCCTGGAGGATGAGATGGTGACAAGTTCATATTCAGTGTTGGTAAAAAGCACCCTATTGGCTGGGCACGGTGGCTCATGCCTGTAATCCCAGCACTGTGGGAGACCGAGGCAGGTGGATCACCTGAGGTCAGGAGTTTGAGACCTGCCTGACCAACATGGAGAAACCCCATCTCTACTAAAAATACAAAATTAGCTGGGCGTGGTGGCACATGCCTGTAATCCCAGCTACTCGGGAGGCTGAGGCAGGAGAATCACTTGAACCCGGGAGGCGGACATTGAGGTGAGCCGAGATTGCGCCACTGCACTGCAGCCTGGGCAACAAGAGGGAAACTCCATCTCAAAAACAAAACAATAACAAAAAAAGTGTGCCCTATTGAACTTTACAATGTCAAGAGTGTTTTATGACTTATTGTTGTTTTAAGTAATATAGAATTTTTATTAACTCTTTAAGTAATTATGACTTCTTTTAATACTTGGTCTGTTTCGTTAACCTGAACAATGAATGTACTTGTTTTTTATTACAGAGTCTTCTCAAAGTGAGTATTTATGAAGTAACCTGCACCAAAACAAGACAAAAGTCTTACACAAAAAAATCGATGGACATAGTCCTGTAATCTGAGACTACAGCCTCTCCGCAGCCTGGAATGTCCTTCTCCAAACTGCATGCATTCTGACTACAAAGCCTGTGCCATGTATGTTTTAAAAAAATCGGAGTTCCAGAAACATAACTTAGGGAGAGCAAAAAGAGGATTGCTTACACTGTTACAACATGATTCTTCTTCTTTTTTTTTTGAGAGGGAGTCTCACTCTGTCGCCCAGGCTGGAGTTCAGTGGTGTGATCTCGGCTCACTGCAAGCTCCGCCTTCCGGGTTCACGCCATTCTCCCGCCTCAGCCTCCCAAGTAGCTGGGACTACAGGCGCCCGCCGCCACGCCTGGCTAATTTTTTGTATTTTTAGTAGAGACGGGGTTTCACCGTGTTAGCCAGGATGGTCTCGATCTCCTGACCTTGTGATCCGCCCATCTCAGCCTCCCAAAGTGCTGGGATTACAGGCGTGAGTCACTGCGCCTGGCCTATTGTTCTTTTATACATGTTACACAAGCAAAAACATACTTTAGTTCATAGGCACACACTGTATTACTCACCATGTGAGAGTCATACTGGAAAAGGTAAGTAAAGAACCATGGGAGACTCCAATTTATTTTTTAGTTTACTTTTTATTTTATTTTTAATTGACTAATAATAATTGCATACAACTATGGGGTGCAATGCAATGTTTTGATATATGTACACATTGTGGCATCATTAAATAAAGATAACTAAAATATCCATTACCTCAAATACTTATGCTTTTTTTTGTGGTGATCACACTTAAAATCTGTTCTTTTAACGATTTTGAAATATACAATATATTATTATTAACTTTATTCACCTTGCTGTGAAATAGATCATTAAAACTTAACTCATCCTGTCTAAGGGAAACTTGGTACCCTTTGACCAACTTCTTCTCTTATCCCATCAACTACTAGCCCATCCCCAGCACCTGGTAGCACATTCTGTTCTGCTTCTATGAGTTCAACTTTTTTAGATTCCATATGTGGCTGCAATTATACAGTATTTGTCTTTCTGTACCTGGCTTAGTTTACTCAGACGAATGTATTCCAGGTTCATCTATGTTGTCACAAATGACAGAATTTATTTCTTTTTTAAAGGCTGAATAGTGTTCCATCGTGTATATACCACATTTTCTTTCCTTATTCATCTGCTGATGCACAGTGAGGTTGATGCCATAGCTTGGTTATTGTGAATAATGCTGCAGAAAATTTGGGAGTGCAGTTATAGCTTTGTGACATACTGATTCCATTTCCTTTGATATATGGCCAGCAGTGGGATTGCTATATCATACGGGAATTCGATTTTTAGTTTTTTAAGGAAACTCCATAATGTTTTCCATTATGGCTATTCTAATTTACATTTCACCTTCAGTATGTAAGCGATCCTTTTTCTCCATATTATCGTCAACACTTACTTTTCATCTTTTTGATAATAGCCATTTTGACAGGTGTGAGATGATACCTCATTGTGGTTTTCATTTGCATTTCCCTGATGACAGTAATGTTGAGCTTTTTTTTATATACCTGTTGGCCATTTACATGTCTTCTTTTGAGAAATATCTGTGCAAGTCCTTTGCCCATTTTTAAATTGGATTATTTGGTTTTTTTTGCTACTGAGTTGAGTTCCTTATATATTTTGGATATTAACCCCTTATCAGACTTATTGGAAACTTATACAGTTTCCAAATATTTTTTCCTGTGCTGTGGCTTGTCTTTTTATTTTGTTGTTTGTTTCTTTTGCTTGCAGAAACTTTTTAATGTAGTCCCACTTATTTTTCCTTTTGTTGCCTGGGTTTTTGGTGTTCTATCCAAAAAATCATTGCCCAGACCAATGCTGGGGAGCTTGTTCCCTATATTTTTTTCTACAGGTTGAGCATCCCAAATCTGAAAATCTGAAATCAAAGGAAATGCTCATTCAAACATTTCAGATTTTGGATTTTTGGATTTGGGATGCTCAACCAGTAAGTATGCAAATATTTCAAAATTTAAAAATAATTGAAATCCCAAACACCTCTGGTCTCAAGGATTTCAAATAAAGGATACTCAACCTATAGCAGTTTTACAGTTTCAGGTCTTTTGTTTAAGTCTTCATCTATTTTGAGTTGATTTTAGCATATTAAATGAGATGAAGATCCAATTTTATGTCTCTGCATGTGGATATTCAGTTTACCCAGCACCATTTATTGAAGAAACTGTCCTTTCCCTCATTGTGTGTTCTTGGCACCTTTGTTGAAAATTAATTGACTGTTAATGCGTGGGTTTATTTCTTGGCTGTATCCATTGATCTATACTTCCGTTTTTATGCCAGTACCATGTGGTTTTGCTTACTCTAGCTTTCCAATATATTTTGAAATCAAATAGCATGATTCCACATATCTGCTTTTTTTTTTCTGTTTGTTTAAGATTGGTTTGGCTATTCAGAGCCTTTTGTGGTTCCCTACAAATTCTAGGATTTATTTTCTATTTCTGTGAAAAATGTCATTGGAATTTTGATAGGGATTGCATTGAATCTGTACATTGTTTTGGGTAGTATGGACATTTTGACAATATTAATTATTCTGATCCATGTATGTAGGCTATGTTTCCATTTATTTGTGTCTTCTTCAATTTATTTCATCCATGTTTTATAGTTTTCAGTGTACAGGTCTTTCACCTCCTTGGCTAAATTTATTCTTAAGTATTTTTTAATGCTAATGAGACTGGGATTGTTTCCTTACTTTCTTTTTCAGATCATTTGTTGTTAGTACATAGAATGCTACCAATTTTTGTCTGTTGATTTTGTATCTTGCAATTTTACTGGATTTGTTTATCAGTTTTCACAGTTTTTTGGTGGAGTCTTTAGGGCTTTCTATATATAAGATCACATTGTCACCAAACAGAATATTTCACTTGTCTCTTTATAATCTGAATGATTTCTATTTATTTTTCATGCCTAATTGCTCTGGCTAAGACTTCAGGTACTAAGTCAAATAGAAGTGGTGATAGTGAGTGCCCCTGTATTTCTCCTGATCTTAGAAAAAAAGCTTTCAGTTTTCACTGGTGAATGTCATATTAGCTGTGGGCTTCTCATGTATGGCCTTTATTGTGTAAAGGTACATTTCCTCTATGCTTAATTTGTTGAGAGTTTTTATCATAAAAGGATGTTGAACTTTGTCAAGCACTTTTCCTGTATCTATTAAGGTGACCATATGGTTTTTGTCCTTCATTCTGTTAATTTGGTATATCACATTTAATGATTTGCATATGTTGAACCATCCTTGCTTACCAGGGATAAATTCCACATGATCATGGTTTATGATCTTTTTAATGTGCTGTTGAATTTGGTTTGCTAGTATTTTGTTGTGAATTTTTGCATCTATGTTTATCAAGGAAATTGGCCTGTAATTTTCTTTTCTTATAGTGTCCTTGTCTGATTTTGGTATCAGCGTAATGCTGGCCTCATAAAATGAGTTTGGAAGTGCTCCTTCCTTTTCAATTTTTTTGGAACAGCTTGAGAAGAGTTAGTATGAGTTCTTCCTTTACATGTTTGGTAGAATTCACCAGTGAAGCCATTATGTCCTGGGCTTTTCTGGATCGGGACCGACGTTTTTTTTTTTTTTTTTTTTTTTTTTTTTTTTTTTGTTTAGCGCGGCTGATTCAATCTCCATACTCATTCTTAGACTTCAGATTTTCTATTTCTTCATGATTCAGCTTTGGTGGATTGCATGATTCTAGGAATGTATCCATTTCCTCTAGACTATCCAATTTGTTGGTGTATAATCGTTCACAGTCGTCCTTTGTGGTCCTTTGTGTTTTGCAGTATCAGTTGCAACATATCCTCTTTCTTTTCTTATTTTTTTCAGTCTTTTCTTTTTTTCTCTCTTAGTCTAACTAAATATTTGTCAATTTTGTTTATAATAAAAATATTACTCTTACATTTTTGATCTTTTCTATCTTTCCTTCTGCTAACCTTGGGCTTAAATGATTCTTCTTTAGGACCTCAAGTTAAATATACAAATGCAGCAGGTATAGAAGATCACCTTCATAAGATATGATAAGGGTTTTATTATTCTGCATTGTCTTAAGAAGATAGAATTTACTCCACCATTGACAAAATATTACATATCTGATCAAGGGACTATCATTTGATATTCACATAAATGTATAAACTTTATATTGCAGGTGTTATGTAATCTTTGTGTTTATATTATCAGCAAGATCTGTTTAATTTTGAAGAAACCTTTTAAGCTTTCAAATTAATGAAAGCCTAAATAAGCAGCAAAGCCCCTAAGAGCTGGAAGAATCATCATGCGGAGAAGAGGATCTGCTCTGCTTAGTTTCTGGATAGCTGAGGCGGGTGTCACTATGAAATGCTTGCTCCCACCTCTCAGTATCTCTGATTTCAAGGCTAATGCTAGAGCTTTTGACATCCACACTCTCTCCACTGTCAGTCTGACCACTATTTTCCTTCCTGTATTTCATTTCCTTGTCTTTTTTCCTATTTTCCCTGCTGTCCATCATGGTTTTAACCTTATAAACAATAGGCAATTTAGAAAGTGCCTTTTTTTCCTTCCAACTAGACATCTCTCCACTTAGAATGTGTTGCTATAACTTTCTGGAGACTAATCTTGTCAAGGCTTCTTATTTTATTTTATTTTATTTTATTTTTTTAAGATAGGATCTTGCTCTGTTGCTGGGCCTGGAGTGCAGTGGTGCAATCATGGCTCACTGCAGCCTTGACCTCCTGTGCTCAAGTGATCCTTCTGCCTCAGCCTCCTGAGCAGCTGGAACTACAGGTGCATGCCACCATGCCTGGCTAATTTTTGTATTTTTTATAGGGATGAGGTTTCACCATGTTGCCCAGGCTGGTCTTGAACTCCTGAGCTCAAGCAATCTACCCACTTCAGCCTCCCACAGTGTTGGGATTTTAGGCATGAGCCACTACGCCCAGCCTAAGGCTTCTTCTTAATGTTTCTTTCCCTCCATGAGACATAAGATTATTATTATTCTTGTTTATTGCATTTTTTTCTAGCTGTCCTAGATATTTTGACGTGCCCTAAAGCTTGGCATTAGGAAACTGGTACACTATTGTACTTTGAGAGGGTCAGCATTAATGAAGATTTCAAAAGACTTGGGAGCAGGGACGCGTGTCATGCCAAGACTGACAGCCTGAGTTGCCCCACCTCCCTACTCGCCTTGCCCAGGCTGTGCTCATACTATTTATTTAATAATTCTTGTCAGTGTGCTTATGTCAGCAGAAACTTTCCACAATACACAGGCAAAACTCATGAATTAAACTGTTTCCAATGGGGCACTCTCTTCTAGTCTACCAGTGCAGAAGTTGTAGTCTTTTGTTTCCAATGTATGATTTATGCCAGGATCATAAGCTCGATTTTTCTGTAGACTCAGAAATAATCCTTATTAATAGGTACAGAACTATGTGTTTTCTTATATTTAAAATTAAGGTTTTTTAATTTATAGAAAACGTCATCTTTGTCTACTTATTTATTTACTTTGTGTTGCAGGCCCAGAAGAATCTGTATCTGCATCAACACCAGCAGAGCTCAAATAAATCCTGATGCAATATATATTTAGGATAATTTTAAAATGGCTAAATATGACATGACTATATTATAGCTATATTTCTGAGGCTCTTTTTGTATTTTATTAATATAGACTCTCATTGAATAATTTAACTTGTAGCAGATTTAACATTGCTGCATAGAAGGGGCAGGTGTTGGTTTTTGTTTCTTGTGTTTCTCTGGGATGTGAAACACATGGCTAACAAACACAACTATGGCCTCTGGTACCCTCTGCCCTGCTGGCCTGTTGATGTCCCAGTATCTCAGAACCAATCACTTGCCCCTGTCATCAACTAACATAACCTCCTACTGTGTGAACCACTCTTAGCGGGCATTGCTACTGGATTCTTGACTAGAGGAAACTTACAGAACAGGTGTTAAACCTTTTCCAATATTTGGTATTGCGATCTTTACAGAAATCATTTTCTAGTTACAAAAAAATTTAATTCCAGAATATGGTGATACAGTTTATGTTAAGAAAAATATTTTAATTTATTATGCCATGAATTTAACATTTAATATAAAATATTGTAACATTTGCTGTTTTTAAATGTTTGCTATTTTTTCATAAACTGAGATTCAAAATATTATACATTTATTATTTTGTATAAACCTTTAAGTAAAAATATACTGTTTTAATATTTAATTTAGTAGAATTAACAAAAACTTCCAAGCTGAATTACTTTGTTTTATAAATGTTAAATTGTTTATATTTAAGTAATTAGCTGAAATATAGTTCTATGTTTTGTATATTAATTGATTAATAACAATAATTTTATGTGGGAATGTTTTCAAAAAGCCAAATAAAGCCACAGATATTTCAGCTTCTTTCCCAGAATAAACTTATCATGCATTTGCTTACCTAAAATTTAAGTTTCAAATTAGTTCTCTATATGAGACACTTAATTGAGCATATATATCTATATTCATTGATCAAACTGATATGCTACAGGAGAATGTATGCAATATGTAAAAAATGTAAATGGCTGTATGCATTGAATAAAAATCATATGCAATTACAGTAAGAAGTTTGTTTTTTCCCTTTCCTATTCTCTTCCTTCCTCTATGAATTCTTACCTCATTTCCAGACACCTCCGCCTTAATGAAATAGTCATCAGGAACAGATGTCAATAGTGTAGAACTCTTCAATTCTTTATTCAGATTATTATAGTAACAGAAACCTGTGGTTTAGGAAAAATGAGGACAAAATTTGGAGTAAGGACCAGTGATCAAATTTAGGCTCCACCTACAGTAGCCAGTGTCGACCTAAACAACAAGCAGAGAGGCTGTCTGAAAGCAAATGGTATTTATTTGGGAATGAGGCAGTTCAATGGAAATATAGTAAACTATGCACATATAGTAAACTGTGCACATATTCATGGAGGTCAAGGAAGACAAAAAGAGAGAGGATTACATAATTGTTTTGATATAATTATCCTTGACTATAATGATCAATAATGAAGGTGATGCCACTCCAAGTTTGAACAGGCAGTGGCTGGACAGATGTCCTCACAGAAGTATTTTTTTATGTATGGTTGCAATACCCTTTGTTCAAGGTTACAGTTTTATAGAGTCTTTTGTGATAGCTTTTGCTATTCTGTGCAATTCCAACTATATGGCATGCTGGGGATGGTAAAACTATGGCTACAGTAAAACTATCACTGATAGACGGGGATTAGGGAGGAAGAATGAATTGACAGAGCACAGAGGAATTTTAGGCCAGCTAAACTACTCTCTGTATAATGCTACAATGGTGGAGACATATCATTATAAATTTGTGCAAACCCATAGAATCTATAACACCAAGAGTAAGCCTTAATATAAACTATGAACTTTGGGTGATAATGATGTCTCAATGTGGGTTCATCAATTGTAACAAATGTATCACTGCTGTTCCAGGTGTTGACGGTAGGAGAGGCTATGAGTGCTTGAGAGGAAAAGGTATATGAGAACTCTGTTCTTTCTGCTCAATTTTGTTGTGATCCTATGACCCAAAAAGTCTATTAAAAATAAAAAAATAAGATAATGCCCTATATGTCATAAAAAAATTAAAACTACAGTGTGAAAAAAGCAGGTTGGGCATGGTGGCACATGCCTATAGTCCCAGCTACATAGGAGGCTGAGTAGAGACTATTGCTTGAGCCCAGGAGTTCAAGTCCAGCCTGAGCAGCATAGTGAGACCCTGTCTCATAAATAAATAAATAAATAAATATTTGTATAAAGTAGAAATATTTGTATAAAGTAGAAAGTACAAAGTGGGTATGCTGCCTGTAGTGCTAAATGTTGGGATATACAAGTGGTTATATCACATCCCTTGATTTAAAGGTTAAAAAAACAACAGATCAACTTAGGTCTAAAGGACAAATCAGCATTAGTAACATTTAAAAATGAAAATAAAGGTGCTTACCAGGGCAGCACATATACTAAAAATGAAAATAAGGAGTAAAAAATATTTTCAAGCCTTTTTGTCCTTAGAGAGCAAAGCTCAGCAGCTTTGACAGGCTCTCATGCTCTTAGTTTAGATTTCACGTAGGAGCTCTTTGTGAAACAATAAAGAGGCTGTCTATGCAGTTTTAACAAGTACAATAATGTGCAACAGAAATTCTGATTCACTAGCAAGCTCTTCAGGTGGTAAGACATGAACCCTCCTTTGAGACATACTGTCCTGTAACTTGGGTCAATGCAACTTAGAATTAAAAGATTTTGTTTTGAATGTGCCATGTTTTTATGAGGTTACTAGAAGATTTGCAATAAAGTACAATGTTTCTACCCAAGAATATCCTAATTTCTTTGAAACTATTCATTATGTATTAATATGTAGCCATTCCTTGCCTCATGAACTATAGATGTAAAATTATTTTAAAACTGCATCTTGGGGACTTCCTAGTAGTTAATTACAACCACCTCAGCTAAATCTCCCCACACATCATTTAAAAATTGAGCAGATCAAATAACCAAATTGAGTAGATGTACCAATCTTTGTACATCTATGATATAAAGACAACCACCAATGGCCCATTTCTTCAGCACAATTAAAAAAGAAAGGACACCATAAGCTTAAAATGACCTGTAGATAGACAAACATAAACTTCCAGCAGAGTTATTTCTACAGCTCCCACCACACACTTTACTGAAGATGAGGGAGGATCCAGAAAGACTCTAGAAAGAGAAGACAGGGTGCAGGTAAAACTAGCTGCAGAAGGAAAAGTCCCGATTATGTGGGAACATAGTAAAAATGCATGGTGAAGGGGAAATCAAAGTGGAGAAAACAGAAGATTCTATCAACAGTAAGCCAAAAAAAAAATAGAAGGACACATAATTCCTTCCCTGTATGTATGAAAACAGCCACCCAAGAAAAAAATCTTTACATCTCACTACTGATAGAAGATGGCACAATTGAATGGTATAAATCATCCCAGTAGCCAACTCTATTCACAAAGTAAAATATACTAGAAGTCTTTATCTATTAAGAGTACAATAAGACAAAGACAAAAACTGAGAATAAAAATATTTTGGCTGATAAATATTTTCTTCAAAAAGTTAACAATGAAACACAAGATACCTCTATTACAACACTTCTCAAGCAAGCATTTACAGATTTTAAAAATGTGCACACAACAACAAACATACACTCTGGCTTGGAAGTTTAAAAACTAAGAACAGAAATTAATTCCATCCTGTAAAAAAAAAAGAACAAATAAAATGAGAGTTTATTTAATTTCAAGAAGAAAAAGAATCAAAAGAAAAATTCTATTGGAAATAAGGACTATAAGATACCCCAAGGAGAACAGATTAAAATAAAAATGTAATGTGGGTCATTGAAGAAAAGAAAGAAAAGAACGAAGAGATTGAAAATGAGATGAAATAGAAAGGATTAGAGGGAAATCTATTGAAATGGAAGACAATGAAAGAAGATTAAACCTATGTATAATTGGATTCTCTGAAGAAGGAAAAAGCTATAAACAGTGGAACAGAACTAACATTTATAACTGCAACTCTAGAAAATATTTCAGAAATAATACTTGAATCTACATATTGGAAAGATCCACAATGTACCAGGGAAACTTATCTGTAACAATGTCAAGACATATTCTAATAAAATTATAAGATTTTATTGGAAATAAAATATTCCCGGTTCCTCTAAACTAAAAGATCTAATAATTTACAAGGTCAAGCAAAATTATCTGGCATAAGATTTCTCAAAAGCAATATGCAAGGCAACATTAAAGCAGCATTTTCAAGAAACTCAATGAAAGAATATATGAACCAAGCCAAACTGTCCCTCAAGTATCAAGGCTACAGAAGAATGGTTTCAAACATGTAAGAATGAGCCTTTACTGAAGCACCAGCTAGAGGATGAGATTCACTCAGCTAAAAATGACTGAAGAAAATTCAGCAAAAGGACTACTGATGAGCACTTAATATAGTTAATTATGGACCTAAAACTAAAAGTGGGGAAAACATGAGAGAGTAATATATAAATGTTCTATATTCTGACAAACTAGAAATAACATAACTAAAAATTTAGAAAAGGAAAAAAATCTAAAATAAACCCTTTGGTGGATAGATCATGCACAGTACTCAAAGAATACCATTAGAAACTGACAAAACAGATTGTAAAAAATTAAATAAGAAAACAGAAATAAGGGCACTAAGAAAGACGTAAGTTAAAAAAAATTACAGAAAGAAAGAAAAATAGTAAATATAATACTCATAGTAATTACAATAATGTGACTGAATTAAGACTACACCTGCAAGTCATATCAATAAATGTAAATGAGCTTAACTCATCTGTTAAAAGATCTTCATTTTGGTTTACAAAGCAAGACACAAATGCCATATGCTGGAGACATGAGACACATCTGAAACAAAGGATTCAGAAAGGCTAAAAATGAAATGATGAGAAAAGGCATACCAGGAAAACTGAAATAATAGAAAACACAGGTAGAAACATTTATGTCATACAAAGTAAAATTCAAGCAATAAACATTACATGAGACAAAGAACTTTTTAATACTAAAAGCCAAAAGTCACAGGAAAGACAGTACAGTTATGAATATCTAAGTATCGAGTATAACAGAGACCACTTTTACGAGGCAGGAACTACAGGAAATGCAAGGAGTCGACTACTAATAGGATACTTTAACACATCACTCTCAGTGCAATTCAGATCAACCAGAAAAAGATAAGAAAGGTTATAGAAGGCCTAAGCAGTGTAATCAATATGATAGGTCTTATGGATATATATCAAAAGTTAAGATGTGATAATAGAATGTATACCTTCAAATGCATGCACAGAATATTCACATAAGTAGTTGTTATAGTGGGACACAATAATGTAGAAATGTGCAAATACTACTCTGACCACAGCTCAATAAATCTGGAAATTAATCACAAAATCAATAAACTTAAAAAATTCCCACGAGGAAATTTTTGAAAACTTGCACAACTTATATTTAATGCCCTTGATGAAAGAGAAAGTACTAACCTAAATTA